TCACCGCATAATTTATTCCCTACTGCTGGTACTCTTTCGCCGAGCGATTTAAAATACTGCCGGCCGTACTTCTTTATTTTATCTCCCAGTCATTAAATCGCCATACCGAGGATAGCACGTTTGCTTCTTGTATTGAATGGCACGGTTCGGCGTGCAGTTAATTATAAATCAGACGATTTGTAAACTCTATCTCGGCGCGATTATTATTTATCCCCTTAAACGTAACGTTTCATCATTTTTCAGGTCATTAATAAGAGGATAATCCTCGGTAACTAAAGGTTCCCCGGCATCTCTCGGTTGTATCGTGCGCGGGTCTCCCCGGAGAGTGGCGTCTTTTTTATTTTTTACATTTTGGTAAACCCGCTCGTTAAATTTTTACTCCTCCGTAGCCAATATTGTACGCGAGCTTTCGAACGGCCCTGTAAAAGCTCCGGTTTATTACCGATTTTAATTACGGGAAAATAATAACTAGATTGTGGACGAATCGGCTTAGCTATAACAACTTGCTCGGTAAATATCGAGGATCACCTTTTGCGTGGCTTTTCGTTATCCTAATCAGTGGGATTATCGCCGAGAGGTAATTTCTATCCCGAACTGCCATTTATGCGCGACTCATCGCGTGAGCTCCGTTGCAAAACTACGTAACAATTTCGTTACTTTTTAGCAGATGTGGCGTTGCCTGTCAGCGTGGCTTTTATTGCTCATAAACGATGCAATTAAAGTCAGGAAACGCCATTTCTGCGCGCAAGTGTGACTTGTTAAATTCATGGGTTATGAACTCGATCATAAATTAGCGCGACAATTTTGCAACTTTTTTACCGGACGAATTGGGCTTCGTTGGTCATTACGAATACCTGAGATTTCGGAAAAATCACGTGCGCGGCACCGGCTTCATCGTTATCAAGGAGTTGCTCCGGATTTCAGAGTATCGCCGAAAATGATAGGCCCGACCGTTTGCAACAATGTCTTCCAAAACTCGATAACCGTTTTCCGTCGTCGAGCCGCAGATCGCAATATTACCGGCTCAAGGGTAGGGCCATAGATATTATGCCATCGAGGAAGTCCGTCGACGAGTTCCGGGTGGAAAGTTGCGGAATTTTATAGTACCTGGAGGACCTAGAAGGGCGAAGAAGACCCATCAATATTATGGCAAAGTTTATGCATACACATACGTACACGGGACGATGCAAGAGGTTTAAAACTACCTCGTAAATGTTTCCCTGGTTGGCTATTCACGAGCGCAACTGACTCGGCAAGTGCGGGCATGTGAAAAACGTATAATCCACCCTCTAATCTGCGGATATGCGGTCCCCGCCGTCGACGATGCACCGGTGACCGAACTGCGAGATGCAACGAGGTCCACCTCCCTCAGCGGTTGCTTTACGTTGCATTTCTTATCACCGAATACCATGATAACCACTAAATCATCATCGGTGCTCTTCGATGGAACCTCCGGTACGTAATAATTACGATTAACGAGTCGACGTGATTTGTCCTCTTCCGCAGGGACGTTCCTTCATCACCCTCGATGGCCGAAGAGGCAAGACGGCGTCCGGGCGAAAATGGAGACCGCCTCGAAATGGCAACCAGGAGTTCGAGGGACGCGAGGAATACGAATTGAGAGACGTAGCTCGTAACTAACTATCCGGGAAGAACTTTACGACTACTGGGTCGACGTGAAGCTGAGTGGCATTGCTTGTAGCGGGGACAAACGGAAAGTGAATGCACCGTACGTTACGCGAGCGCGGACAACCGATGCATTCGGGGGGACGCCATTTCGGTCGCCGAACTTTTCACCTGGGACGGAAAAACGGACCAGAGCGTGGAGATCGACTCGACGAGGCTTAAGATCGTGGAAAAAATAAAATCGGATCCCTCGGAGAGCTCATTTGCCGAGATTAACAAACGCGATGCGTTACCGCATCTTGGCCGATATAGCGGCGGAGCGGGGGAGATCTGCATTGCTAGGAGAGCAGACAGCGATCCATCCGCGGTGCTCGGTCGATGATGCATATATATGTATTAATACGGCATGTCGGTGAATAATAACCATCCTCTCCGGGGAAACGCCCTGCGCTTTGGATTGCACGAGGAATAACACGGGAGGGTCAAGTGCACCTCGACGCGCGACTGCAATTCGAGAGATTGAACGGAATTCGTTTGGCAATCTGACCAGTTTATTCACCGGTCAACTTGAGGTGGGAATGCAAAGGAAGCGACCCTGCCGTGGAAATTGGCCCGCTGGTGGAAATGCATTTAGAATTCGGGTAGCGGGCTTCATTCCCGGCCCGAGCCGCGAAAACGAAGATTTCCAATTTCCCTTATTTATTCGGACAACGTTTCCGACCGTATTAGTGCAGAAGAAAGGATGGCTTATCCCTCTCCTCCCCTTCGCGAAGGTACCCGATACAAGACAAGGAAATGTAGGTAAATCGCTAATAGCTGCCATGACTCGTGGCTCGGTTTAACCCCTTCTTTTTCCAAGCGAGAAGAAACGAGCGAATCCTCGCCTCGCTCCGCGCGTTACGTAAACCGATTTCGCAAATCTGCCCGTTTACCCCGCTCAGATTTAACCGAAACCCATCCGAAATCTATAGGGCCGAAGCGGAGGTCGGCCGGTAATTAAAACTTCTAAGTGCAACGCGTTTGCGCTTTAATAAGATACCGTTTAATCGTCCCGGCAATAAGAGTTTAAGGGTGTAGTCTTTACGGGCGGGATAGAGGAATTGTTTTTACCCCGACTTTTCCAATAACTGGCCCCGAAGAACCGAAGAAGCAACCGGCGTTGGATATTAAGATTTCCCTTGATGGAGGACCCGACGACTCGAGCCTTATCACTTTTCTAACTTATATTAGATCAGTACCTGCGAAACGGATGAATGCGAAAACCCTTTCGAGCAATCTTCCACTTCGCGTCCCGTCTCGCTCCTAAAAAGTCTTTCCGAATTTTTGAGTACCCTTTCTCTGGCTCCGTCGAACTGTAAATTGGAAAACTGTCAAATCTATTGTTACACCGGGAGGATGTTCTATTAATGGACAATCGAGGGGCAATTAATTTCAGGGTTATGAAAGAATTCCGCTTGGGGAGTCAAATTTGTTTCGTTGCCTGTGCAACGAACAGCGATGCATTTCCTGGAGTAGAAATGAAGCAATTAAAGGCATGGATGGCGATTAGGGCAATAAATTTTACTGGCTTATTAAATCCCGACAAAAGGGCTCACTTGTACTGGAAAACGTTGACACGAGGAGCGAGCTACGAGCGAACGAGGAAGCGTATCTGTACTTTCATATTTGGCTACAGGATGCATCTCCAGGCTGAACGATGCGGCACATTGATTGCGTCGCAATGTTGCAGGATGTTGCAATTCACCGAGACAGTTGTATATCGATGTGGAAGCATTAAATTAGATCAGGTGAGCAGGATTAGCCAACTGCTCCTCAGCCGGTCGTTTTTCTCCCTGGCCGTAGAAACTCTACCTTGATAGAAATCCCTGGGTGCAAATATGAAACATGTTTTTCGACGTTTCATTAGCATCGCGGATGGCTCGGCGTTGTAACGAATCAAAAAATACTCGGCGCTAATTGAATTCCTTCCACTTTGAACCTGGGTAAAATACGCTGAAAGAACCGCACCGACGAAATCATTTTGTTTAATGAATTGAGCTAATTGACCTCGTCCTAACGCAGATGGCTATTATAGCCATTGGTCCCGTAAAACCAAATCGATACCACGAATTTATGGATTGGACATTTTACCTCATTTTCAATCGGATCCTGGGAATTCTCGAAAAGGGCGCCTCATTTTCCTCTCGCTAATTATTTTCCCATCCCCAATATTTAACGGATTATAACGAATCCTTTCGCGAGTGCATGTCACGAAATATCTTGTTTTAATAATCTGATGGAGGGATGTTTTCGAATTTTCCGGTAAATATTTCGAAGCGAACAAACTCGGGGCATGATGCCCAAGGGCATGTCGATCGTGCTTCGATGTCCGGATGATTTTTCTCAGAACATTTTTTTTTTAAATCGTATCGGAACGTCGCACCGAAATCCAGTGAGTGCATCCTGCATCCGGATGCGCGATGCGAAAGACTCGCGAAGCTCGGTCTCGGAGAAGGCAGACTTGGTTTCTCAAGGAAAGTGAATAATAACGAAGCTCGGCCGAGGGATGATCCCGTGTCGTCAGGATCCTTGACAGATCGCGAAGCACGGGAGCCGTTGATTTGCATTGCAACGCAATACCTATGCTAAATCAGCCTAAGGCGAATTAGAGCGATGTGCATGGAAGACGTTATCTGCAGGATGCGGCACGGATCCTGAAGAGAGTTCGTCGCTTCGGCTCCTGGCCCCTCTCCGCCTCACCTGGTTGCCATCACCGATGAGTACACCATCGTGACACAGTTTTACCGATCTTCGTTATAAATCCTCCCGATTGCACTAAATCCATGATCTAGAATCGCGGACAGACTTCGGGATATATAAAGCGGATTAAACCACACGGGCTGACATTCGCTCCACACGAGACTCCCGAGCAGAGGCCGAGTCGTCCAAAAACCGGCCTCCGCTGCCACCACGGAGCCCTGGCTTCGTGTTTTGCTCTGAACCCTATCCCATCGGCGACATAAAGTCCGAAACTTAACAAGAACTACTAACTCGAGCACCATGTTCAAGGTAAGGCGACGATACTACCGATACCCGACATCCCTCGCTGGGTGCAACACGAGTGGATAGATTTTCCCCACAATTTTCTATAAACGTGCTTGTTCTTCCGTTAGATCCTCTAATCGCATTTGATTTTCCGCGTTAAATTATGGGACGTTATCTACGAGTTCACGGAATAACACCCTTCCGTGAAGATGTTCACGGTACAGATCGCTTTGTCGGGAACACTTAGAAGCATGGATAGGAACTTCCTCTCGGTCTAGTTGCATGACGCGTACAGAGGGTGGCGGGACGACATTTCGATTATTTTTCCACATTTTTGGTGTTTTCAGTTCATGCTAGGAAGCACCATTCTTGCGCTCGCCTTGGCGAGGCCGGAGCCTCCGATCAATTCCTATTTACCGCCCGGAAGAAACGGCCCTGGTGGAGGCGGCGAGGGTGGCGTATCCAACCAATATGGTCCACCGGATGCTGGAGGCGGCAGACCGGGTGGAGGCAGTGGTTTCGATGGAGGTAGAATAAACGGAGGGAAACCATCCAGCTCATATGGTGTTCCCGGAGCTGGGGGTGGAGGCACTAGTGGAGCCGTAGGTGGAGGTAAGGACACGTGCCATTTGGCCGCAATGTTCGGCCCGATGGTGTTTGACACGGGTGAAAAATAGAAGAAAAGGTTAAAGCAAATTCTGATCTCACTCAAACCGATAATCCCTGTATCCAAGAACCACGTGAGCTTCTTAACACGTATTGTAAAAAAAGCGTGTACTAAAAGAATAGTGAATAGTAAACTGGTAAGATAATATTTATCAAAAAAAGGGTATTGACTAAAAACTACCGACACAGGAGGATTTGGAGGTGGCGGGGGTGGTGGTCAAGGAGGACCCAGCAGCAACTACGGCGCTCCAGGAGCTGGTGGTGGTGGATTCGGCAGAAACGGAGGTGCTCCAGGTGGCGGAACATCCGGGAGACCAAGCTCTGGATACGGACCACCCGGAAACGGGAGTGGCTTTGGGGGAAACAACGGCGGAAGCAACGGCGCTGGTGGTTTCGGAGGGGGCGGTGGAAACGGTCGTCCAAGCAGCAGCTACGGACCCCCGGGTGGCGGTGCGAACGGATTCGGAGGAGGAAATGAAGGCGGGAATGGGTTCGGCGGAGGTGGCGGAAGTAGAGCACCAGGAAGCAGCTATGGACCTCCGGGTGGTGGCGGCAATGGAATTGCCGGAGGAAATCGAGGTGGAAATGGATTTGGTGGTACTGGCGGTGGTAACGGAAGACCTAGCAGTAGTTATGGACCACCTGGAGTAGGAGGTGGTAACGGGGGTGGATTTGGTGGAGGAAACGGTGGATTCGGAAATGGCGGCGGTGGTGGAAGACCAAGCGGCTCTTACGGAGCTCCAGGGGGCGGTGGTAATGGATTCGGTGGAAACGGAGCTGGTGGTAATGGATTTGGGGGAAACGGAAGACCGAGCAGCAGCTATGGAGCGCCCGGTGCCGGTGGTAATGGTGGTGGTAATGGTGGAAACGGAAATGGGAGACCCAGCAGCAGTTACGGACCACCCGGTGGGGGAGCTGGTGGTGGCGGAAATGGATTTAGTGGTAATGGAGGATTTGGAGGCGGATCCCCATCCAGCAGCTACGGTCCTCCCGCAGCTGGAAACGGAGGCGGCAATGGAAATGGATATCCGTCCGGTGGTCCAGGTGGGAACGGCAACGGCAACGGCAACGGCAACGGCAACGGCAACGGCAACGGCAACGGCAACGGCAACGGCAACGGTGGAGGAGGATACGGCGGAGACGAAGATGGCAGTAATGTAAGAACGTTTCGGTTCACTATAAATAATCGTTCGTACACTATCCAAAGACACAATTTCATCACATCCTGGTTGAACACACCCTTTCATAGTGCTAAACGAGACACATATTAACGGCATGCTTGCAATTCTAGGAGCCTGCGAAGTACGAGTTCTCGTATGAAGTAAAAGACGATCAGACTGGAACCGAGTTTAGTCACACGGAAAACCGAGATGGCGATCGAGCTCAAGGAGAGTTTAACGTTTTGCTGCCAGATGGAAGGAAACAAATCGTGGAGTACGAAGCCGATCAAGAGGGCTTCAAACCACAGATTAGATACGAGGGAGAAGCCAACGGTGGTGGATATGGATCTGGAGGTCCGGGAGGTGATGAAGGGTACCCATCGGGTGGACCTGCCGGTGGTGGAAACGGCGGGTTTGGGGGTAACGGTGGTGGCAACAATGGTGGCGGCGGAGGATATCCCTCTGGCGGACCCGGTGGAAATGGTTTTGGCGGCAATGGTGGACAAAGAGGGTCTGGTGGTCAGGGTGGCGGATATCCATCCGGCGGGCCCGGTGGAAACGGATTTGGCGGCAATGGAGGTGGGACCGGTGGAAATGGATTTGGTGGCAATGGAGGTGGAGCTGGTGGTCCTAGTGGAAATGGATTTGGTGGGAACGGAAGTGGAGCCGGCGGATATCCCTCTGGTGGTCCCGGTGGAAACGGTTTCGGAGGCAATGGTGGTGGAGGCAATGGTGGTGGAGGCAGTTCCGGTGGGTATCCCTCGGGTGGCCCAAGTGGAGGTAATGGTGGATTCGGCGGAAATGGCGGAAATGGCGGAAACGGCGGATACTCTTCTGGAAGACCCAATGCCGGTAATGGATCTGGAAGAAACGGAGCTGGCAGTAACGGCGGATATCCTTCCGGAAGCGGAGGCGATGCGGAAGCTAATGGAGGATATCAATATTAATAATATGCTCGAACGAGTAGATGCGATGTACAAGATATTCGATAAAGTATTTAGCAGAAACCCATTGACGAGTTCCGAGGGTTCTCTTAAGTTCAATTACCACGAGTACTATAAATAAGTTCATACCATCCGCGCGAGTGCGGATTATTCGTAGGCGTTCATCGCATGACGTTTTATCAGTATTTACAGTAATTATCTTGATCTTAATACTAATTCCCCAGCCGAGTAAGTATTCAGAGGTCAAAGATAAATACGCCGAGGCTTAAAATATCACAGGTTATTAATACTATTTTGAGCTCTTATAGGAACGCGTGTTGGTACATTTTTTTTTTTTTTTTCAGTAGGGAAGCTATGTGTCAGTCCTGGAATTATGCAGAATTTCGTCCAGCGTTAATTATATAACGAGTATAAATTTAACTGGTTAAACTTTATGCTTTTATCCTCGTCGCAAGTTGCCGGTACGTCGTTTAAAATAATGTTTTAAAGTAGAAGAACCCCATATTTATTATTGTATCCGTACAAGTAGACGTAAGGGCTCCGATCTCCAGCAGCTTTTTGCATCATCCGCCATAGTTGATAGTTCGGTACATCCGCAAGTTAGGTATATCATTATATCACGCTATCGTCTGGTACTCTTATATTAAACGACCCCTAGACATAAATGGAATGGGTTCCGCCGTATCAAGTTGTTCATTCCATTGAAAATAAATGATAATATGTGCAAGATATCACGATTGTCTAATTCAACTCGCCAGCACCCTTGTCCGAATTCCTACATTACATCCTGTATGATCATAGAGAGTATATGGTGTACTCTGCAACGCACTACCCCGCGTAAGTAGTTTAAGTACTTTGGAATATTACATTCCGAAAGTTAAGAACAAAACGAGTTAGCCGGGATGTTACTTCTCTGCTCGCGTGTAAAATTTAAGCAACTGCGCTCACAACTCGACTATTTCATTATACGTGCTCACAAGACGCACCTATTCCGGCTATTTCGCAGCCATTTAAACAGCTTTGAGCGATCAAAATGCAACCATCGCGAGGGAATAATTACAGAAATCGGAGGAAATACGTCAAAGCGATGGAAGGCTAAAATGAAAGGTGCAAAGTGCCCACCAACAACGAAACAACGAACAAATTAAACAGAAGGGGACGCTTCTGATAGAAATCGCGGGGAATCAGGAACTGGCTGTACGAGACAAATGTCTACAGCAATAGCCGCCACAAAGCTGCGGTTTTATTATGAAGTATAATTACAGCCAGGTATACATTTGCATTCTGTGTCTGACAAATGACTCTATTTCCATCTCTATTTCATCACGATGCCAACCAGGAACAAGGTATAAAACCAAGCGGCGTATTGTTGGTGCATTTCAGTTTTGTCAATCTCACCAGAGCCGCGCCGAATCGCCCATGATACCGAAGGTAAATATATCAGCATCAAGAAGTATCCCTAAAACCCATCTATTCCCAAGTCCAGTCGAACACCTAAAATCTGAAAATCGATTTATCTACCCCGAACATCGACGCGTAATTCGCAACAATTCCCAACATTTGGCATCGAAACCCAACCCCCTAACAAAATCGCCCTTCATTCGTCGAGCATTCCATTAACAACGCGTTTGCGCGGGCTTTCCTTAAGCTCTTTAGCTGAAAGGCAGCAACACTAGGTCCCTTGGTTAGGTTGTGCGAGGTTCGATCACTTTGCAATTTACGGATTGTTGTACCAATCCACTGTATCGCCGAGAGCCTGAAACTATTGCAGTTGTCGCGCGTTTGAACAGCCAGTGGAAAGATTTACACACCAATTAACCGAGTTCGACATCGGGATAACAAAGAGGGATGGTCGTCAACAATGCTCCAGCTTAACCCAATGAACGCCCTCGGAATGGGATGAAATGATCGATCTTCCTAGCCAAAAACATGCCAAACGTTTCCTCCGTCTGACCCTCTTCCGATATTTGTGCATCTTCTTTCATCGTCTACCCGTTCGGTCGACGTTGCTGCTGTCGAGAGGGCGAAATTCGAAACTATTCCTGCCCGAGTTGGAATCCCTGATCCAAAGGGTGTTCCTATAGTGTCTGTGTCTATCGAGCTCGGCGGACCGACGAGATGCACGTTAATGTCGATTCGGGCCGCGTGGGGCGATCGGGCACGTCAACGGCATCCTCGGAAACGCTCCGGAATTCTCCTCACGTATTGCTATACATAAAGTCGTAACGCCGCGCGTAGTGCGGTGGTAAATTTCATGCCGATATACGATTTCATTATGTAAATGGAAGGCCGCGACGCCATTTCGGCCGACACCTCGCGACACGTCTACCTCGGCACACCTTCTGTTTAACGCACTTATTACCACAGTCGGAGAAGTTCTCGAATTTCCTCGGCCCCATCGGTCACATCTCGAGTTTCGATCTCACATGTTTCGCGTTTTTTCCCTCCCCAGGCCCTGCTCTTGACGACGATGTTGGCAGGAATTAGGAGCGAGCCGCAAGGGCAGGCCTACCTTCCACCAGGTGGACGTCCTGCAAGTAATGGACATCCTGACGAATGGGCAGGGGTATGTACCTTCATTTCCATTATTTTAAAAATCTCAGAAATTCAATCAGTGAACAGAAGTATTTTAAAAATAGTAAAAGTTCAACCAGCGAATAGAAATATTACCGACGATTAATAATGGACATCCTGATTAATAATGGGATATGTACCTTAATCGCCGATTTTTTAGAAACAGTAGAAATTCAACAATAGATTGAAAGTGTTATCGCTTCGGTACTCGATGCATTCTCAAGAAAAGTGGGAATTCGCGTTTATCGACGGTGCACTTCCGGTTCGCAGGACCCTGTCAACTACGAGTTCTCCTACGAGGTCCAGGACTCAGGGGCCGGGCTGGATTTCGGTCATCGAGAAATGCGGAAGGACGACGAGGCTACCGGAAGCTACCACGTACTTCTGCCGGATGGGAGAAAGCAAATAGTCGACTACGTCGCCGACGCCGGAGGGTATCGCCCTATGGTTCGATACGAAGGAACCGCGACGTATCCTGCCTCGTCACCCGGAGGCTCCGAGGGATACAGATACTAATACGGACACTAATCCGGTTTGCACCTACGAGTAATTCGCCCTACGACTATCGATTCGCACCTTTATTCCCCCTTGCGAGGACCCGTCTTCGAAATTTCGTCTCAAGCGTCGAGGCCGAATTCGTAGCGAATTCTATTTTCTGTTATCGCTGAAGACTTTCGTAGCTTAGAAAGAATTGGATCGTACTCGAAGAGTCCTTCGAATCGACCCGACAAATTGGAGACTCCACGAGGCCATTCTTCTCATCCCGTCCGTCCGTTTAATGAACTTCGTCGAGGTCTCCTCTTACCTGAAAAGTCAAGGGAAACCGCAAGCGAGATTGAAAAATGTGAAATATAAATTTTTGTTATGAATTAACCGACCCGTTCACTTATCCGCGGAGCTGCGTCGAACTCGGAAGAGTTATATGAAAGTCCGCGATTACCCCGTACACAGTTAGGACCTTAATTGAGGTCTTTTTGCAGATTTTAGTGCGGAGAAAACTCGCTGACCTCGATCACGCGTCACGCATACATCTCTGCGGCACGTAAATCTCATATTTAATAAATGTCAAGACTCCTACTTTTTTTGCAAATTAATAAGGGGCAGATAAGTGCCGATTTAGCGACGGAGCACGTGCGGCTTTTAAATAATACTCCTGCCGGGTTTGCGAGGCTTTTCCTATCCACTCTTGGTGGAGGAGTCAAGCGCTTCGAGTGAACGGATATTGCTCCAATTTCGGAGTAACGCAGTTTCGTTTTTCCGAACAAATAGGTCGTCGTCGAGTTACTTCTCAAGACCGGTGATATTGCCTTCGGTCCTTGTTACGTGTAGCGGATATGCCGAAAATACAATTTCTGTCCCACTGTCAAATATTTCTCGCCATGAAGTGAGGTGGTGCATCCCCCCAAAAAAAAATTACCCCGAGTCCTTCCGGGTGCACAAACGGGGTATATCGATCGCGCCTTAAAGGATTCCTCTTTATACCACTAGATATCGACACGTTATGCCTTTCACACGAGTGTCTCGCAAGGTTCGGCCTCGCATGCGAGCAGAAATTCACGGAACGAGGCGGCCCCCATGGGAAAGTGTTGAAGCTCCTCTGCAAGAGGAGTCGGTAAGAACGGGCGCTGCGCGAACACCGGTATCGGCACAGAAACCCACTCGGAACAATACCAACAAAATTGTTCGGCTTATCGGGAGGCACTTTCACTCGCCGCCGTGAAAGGTCATCCTTTCGACTCGAGGTACTTGCTCGATTGATTACATGCAATTAAAATCGATTCGTAGAAATAAAATGTCACTCGGGCGATCAACATCTCTGTCAGCCGGTCGATGGACACGTATGACGAAAAAAAAGAACATCGAAGGCATTCATTAGCCTATAAGAGAATTAATCGCTATTATTACCCCCCTCGAACGATAATTCACTACCGAGAGTTGAAATCGTCTTGAAGCGAATTGCGAGTGGAAGGAACGCGGCCAGTCGAAACATGAGATTAATTTTGCGTCCAGGAAGATCCATGATAGGCCAGACAAACCGTGGCATTGAAAACGTCATCTAGATGTCTAATCCTAGGATGTCTGGAGAGACCTTCAATTGGGAAAGTAATGGGACCGAATTTACGCCCACTAAATTCGAGTAATTCCCGCGGCAATTGGCTCACGCGAGTCGTTCCACTTTACGGTCCGAAGACCATTCGCTCGATATCACCTTCCTGCTGATAACATCATCGGATTCGTAAAAATGGACTCTTATAATTTCTGCGTGTCCCACAGAAATCGGGGGGCCTATACTTTGCCCCGACATCGCGTGAAACAGACGGCGAACTTTCGGAAAAAGCGGTCGTGAATATTGTCCTCCATTATCCGCAAATGGCGCGTGAAAAGAAGACCCGACGTGAAACTTTGAAAATGCATAGTGCTCCATTCTCCGCCTCCTGTAATAGATAGCTGCATTTGTACCCACTAAAGTGGACAAGTTGAACCGGCAGTACGCGTCCTCCCTCGATTGCACGCCACCGTTATTCTATTTTATGCATATTGACCTAATTACGTATGTATTACGTATTTGCATGCGAGTAGAACACGGACGATATAAAAACGAATCTGCATAACATAATCGTACATTACGTGCGCGGTTTTCACGGTCAGCGGTACGTAGATAACATTATCCAGAACCCAGTACCATGTCGATTCTGCACCCTGAAGACGTCGTGCAAGAGAGCTGGTTCATACTCGTGCTGACCGGATTTTTAGGTAACTCAGATCCGAAGATCCAGGTTAAAAAAAACAATGAGCCGCGCAATTGGACCGGAATTAAACGCCTCTTGACCCATTTTCTCAGGTCTGCGTCCTGTGAGGGTCCTCGGGACCCCGTGGCCCGGCTACCTTTACATGCTGCTTCTGATAGCCCTCTACTTCTGCTTCTTCTTCGGCATCAAGAACACTGCCGCCCCTGATTTCGAGAGACTCTCTAAAGTGACGAGCGTTACCATCCATCGTCTCAGACAGAACTATGCGAACCTCCTCCTGATGCCTCTCATGATCTGTTCCTCCATCCGATGCGGCCGGAAAGCCAGCGAGGCGTACTTAGCGCTAAGTGAAGTAGACAAGAGTCTACAATTCGTCAACTTGTATTTTCGTTACACTCGAAACATGAGGCGCGAGGTGGTGCACGCGTGTGCGGTGGTCTTCCTTACCACGTTCTTCGGGGTCCTCGAAAGCAGCAGGCTAGTGGATGAGCAGACGACCTCCGCGTTCGAGGCTGCCTGTGTCTTCAACCAGCTCCCGGAAGTGCTCAATGGGGTCTCCATGTGCTCCTTCGTGATCTTCCTGTCGAAGGTTCGCCTGAGACTCCTGGCGATCAATGGGAGTCTCGAGCCGCTGATGGATGCCGTCGAGGACGCCGCGGTGACGCCTTCGACGGCCATAAATGACGGTAACGATCGAACCCGCTACAACGTCCATCCCTGGGACTTTGATCGAGGGCCCCATAAAATCATTCCGCTAGCTTTCAGGTTACGATCGCTGCGCCAGAACCACAGAAAACTCTGCAGAATTGCGCTCCTGGTGGGCGACGCTTATGGCTTCCAGATCCTGGTGAACTTCATCGTCTACTTTGGGAATGCCTGCGCTCACCTGAACCTCCTCTACACGAAATTCAACGTCGAGAACAACCTGGTAGACACTTTGGGCGATCTTTTCAGTATCTGCTTCTATATTGGGAAGTTCGTTTACGTCATTCGAGCCTGCCAGGCTGTCGAGGCTCAGGTGATTCCCCATATCTGCTCTGATTACGGCTGGTAGAGATTACGTAGGGGGTTCTTGAGGAATAGGAGACGTCGAATATCCGAAGACGGATGTTATGCTTCTCGGCTCATGGAAACGTTTGATTATAGGCCAAGGTGTCTCGGGAGATGTGGGAAGTTTGGAACGATCCTGATAAACGCACCTTTCAAGGAGAGGTAACGCAAGCGAGTCAGTTAGTCAAGTGATCTTTATCCCAAGAGTTTGGGCGAGTGGTCGGTAAAGTTCCCATATCCTCATTCCATATATGGGGGAATGCGATCCCTACGATCATGTCGGCCCATCATTTTTCGAATATTTACACCCATAAAATCATAACCTTTATGTCGATTATCTTATCTTCCGATATCCTGTCGCAGATGAGGGCGATTTCTTGGCAGCTATTTCTCAAGGATTTTCGGTTCACCGCTTGCAATTGCTGTTACGTTGATTGCAGATTACTGAAAACGGTGAATAAACGTAATATCCTCGAAATTTATCCAATAAGCACCATGGTGCACGCTGGGCGTCTTTTGATAATTTCTCTTTCCTCTGTGATTTCAGGTCGTCGTCGGCTTGATCGGCTACTTCGTTTTAATGGCTTACATAATTCGTTAGCGTTAACGGAACAGTTTGTAAAGAGGCACTCTCCGCAAAATAAAAGAAACGAACACAGAGCTCGTTCCTTCGGCATTTTATGCGACGATTTCCACCCACGCGCGATGTATATATATATATATATCTCCGTTGTTAGGTTAAGTTATTCAAAATTACGCCCCTTACAGGCGGCACTTACGGCGCCATTACTGCCTGCATAATTCTAAGGTATCGGAGTGTCAAAGTAAACGCCATAATTGTTCCCATAATGCTCGGCAGAACAATTTCGAAACGGGTCGTCCAATCTTGGCGCATATACTCGGGTCATGCGCGACATTGAACGTCCCGTTACCTGTTCTCGCTGTACACCTATGGGAAGGTAAAACGGCCCCATCATTTCCAAATTTGTCACGGCGAAAAGGGGGCCGTTAAACCTGGCAAATAAATAAGTGCGGCAGAAAGTACGGTCTTGTTTTTCACGCGGACTCGTGGGCTCGAGGGCACCTCGAGGTACCCTAAAACTCGCGACAAGGTGACCGCAGCCGAAAGTAAGACAAAGTGGCCCGATTACCTTGGCCATTGCGCATCGATTTTTCTTATTTAAAGCGAAGGCTCGGCTAATGAGAACGGGCAGGCGTGACCATTATCTCGGGAACCGATTCACCTTCCGCCAAATCGGTCGATGGCGGCCGAAAGATACCATTGACGGTCGACCTCTCAATGGCACGCCGCAGGGATGGATGATCTCGGTCAATGAAATCCACCTGTTAATTGGGATGCACCGAGGTAGATGGTGCACGATTCCTGGTCTTTTTCTTTTTATGGGAAAAAATCGGCGCGGATTATCGTCCGCGCAAGGCGAGCTCGTTCCTCGACCCAAATGCGATTTCATCGGTGGTTTCGCTGAGATTCCCAAATTGATTTCTCGTAATAAGTACATCTTTCTGAAGGAACACCCTGGGGAGTTTTTATATCGCGATAGGAATGGTACCTAGACAATGTCTAAGAGAAAAATGGAAAAGAGGAACGAACAAGGGCGAGGGAGAATACCACCTCGAGCACCGAGAATGGACGTTTCCCTTGAAGGTGCTTTCTTAATAGCAGTAAGTTCGCGTTTTTACCACTTAGCTGGTGCTTTCGGTAGACTTAACCGTAATTACTTTGGCCAAGAGAGGCTAATTTGGGTCGACGTAAAATGCTAGCTGCATCGCGCACCTAATGCCGATATGCATTGTCCTCTCTTGGTGCAAGAAAAACCCGGTACGCCAAACACGCTACGGTGGAGAAAAACGAAAAAACTTTATTCGCAGTCAAGACTCTATTGAACTACGCGAGGACATCGTATAAGAAAAATAGAAAATTCATTAAACTTTATATTTAACCGAAAAGGACCGACTGAGAGGATTCCGACCCTGCGAGGTAACTTTCTTCGGCCTGGTTGAATTCAAACGTCTTTAGTTAATCACGGGCGAGATCGCTAAGTGCCGTTCTAAGCTCCTCAATTGCACTTGCAATTAGCAGTAACAATGAGTAAAATTTCTCTTAGTAGACAGTTCCGTAGGTCCTTCACCGGTTGATACCCACTTATCCATTTAGTACTCCGTGCACAATTGGAACGGTCAGAATAACACCCAGTTATCTCGGCCTCGGATGAAAACGAGCCCTTCAATTGCCTTGAAAAGCGTCCTCCCTCTCCCTCTCTCTCTCTCTCTCTCTCTCTCTCTGTTGACTGACATAATGCTCCTCTCTTTCAGGATAAACCCTTTTAATCAAGATCTCCTCGGCAACTTCTTTCAGCAGCGGATATTCCGTCTCACGCTTTATTTGTAAATGAAGCCAAGCGCCAGACAAAGAATCAAACTTGCCCACCCTCCCGGGGGAGGTAAAACAAAGAAGTAAGAGCCATCAAAACCGTAGTTTCTCCTCAAAGGACTCAAACTCGGTGGCCAAAGTTCCCGTGGATCTCCCTTAGGTCCGCGTAGGGGAAAGTTGGGGGCAAAAGAGAAGCTCGATATTGTTTTTCGAGCATCCTGGACAAAATTCAGGAACTCAAAAAAATCTCGGTCGCTCCCAATGGTCTCTGAGGGGGGCCAAAATGGTGGCGGAGTCATCTCCTAGTCCTCGTCCGCGTATGGAATAGTTAGGGGTGACAGAGAAACTCGATATCGTTTTTCGAGCATCCTGGGAAAAACTTAGGAATTCAAAAAGATCTCGGTCGTTCATAAGGACGCTAAATCGTGGTGTCTCCGAGGGGGACCAAAATGGCGGCGGAGTCGGGTCATCTCCTTGTCCTCGTCCTTGTATGGATTAGTTAGGGGCGACAGAGAAAATCGATATCGTTTTTCGAGCATCCTGGGCAAAATTCAGGAACTCGAAAAGATCTCGGTCGTTCATAATGCCACTAAATCGCGGCGTCTGCGAGGGGAGACCAAAATGGCGGCGGAGTGGGATCAACCCCTGGCCCTCGGCGACGATCGAACTCCTGACACCAAAGAGCCTCCCGACGCGCATAAATCTCCCTCGAAACATTTACTCCTGATCTCGGTACGTGCTCGTGTCCCGATTAACGATCATCGTAATATGACGCAATAACTGGTGCTGCTCCACTATGCGTCCGGGCAGAACGTAGATCAAAGAAAGCAGTTACGTCAGCGCGAGATCCTCGGGGGAGTGCGCTTCGAATTAACCGACAGCTCCTAGGTTCGTGCGGTTACGTCAGAACGAGCATGCACTCTCTTTCTCTCTTGCCTGCTCGAAATAAGAAATCGGTAGTCAGCCGTAGATAGGCGCAACGCCTTCGGTTCGGACCCCGTGATCCAGTTTCGCAAAATCCTCCCATCTTGGACCCCGACCACAAAACCGCGGCCACGCAGAACGCGCGTCCAATCGGCCGCGACATTTTGGCGAACTCGAGAGTTCGGATGTCCACCGAGCACCGTCACCGATGAAATGTCGCGCCAGATTGCCGGGGCTGGCTCTACGCTTTATGGCTAAAAAACTACACCCCCCGGAAAAAAGTGCCATTACCGTTTTCCCGTTTCACTTTCCGCGCGCGCCCGGAAAATGCGCCGACCGGTTCGCCGTGAATATTCCATGAATATGCGTAAATTAATCACGAAAGTTAGGTTAGGTCGCATCGACGCGGCCTCATTTTTGAGGCACCGTGAGAAACCACGTTCCATTCGATTATCGAACGGGAGTTCCGATTTTCGGAGGGCTTCCCCACCGAAATGGGGCTGAAATGGAAACGAAATGGCGCCTCCAACTTGCGAGTCGCGGACGCTGATAAAACATTCGGCGTGAATATTCCATGAATATGCGTAAATTAATCACGAAACGTTGGGTTAGGTCGCGAGCAAGCGGAGCGATGCGATCTCGTTTTCGAGGCCGTGAGGAACCATTCGGTTTTCGAACGCGGAGTTTCGATTTTCGGAGGGCTTGCCTACCGAAATGGAACCGAAATGGAACCGAAATGGAACCGAAATGGAACCGAAATGGAAACGAAATGGAAACGAAATGGCGCCCCTCCAACTTGCGAGTCGCGGACGCTGGTAAAACGGAGGCGAGAGTAGAGTCACGTGCACCTCTACCGCCTTACGTCCACTTTACTTATTTACCGCTCTCCCGTTTCGCGGATGGAGTAGCTTCCTAGAGCCTGCGCAGTCGGTCGCGATTCAAGATCACGCTGGAATCCGAAATTTCTCCACTCGATCTGCAGATTTCTATCTGCGCGATTTATTGGCCCGCTTTGAGAGCGTTTCTTGCGGGGAAAGGAAACACCGCGATTACGATATCATTCCACCATTGTGCCCTGTCGCGTGGCTACGTTCCAAGAGTACCTTATGCCAACATTTTATTTTACGTTCCCAAAGCATCACGCATATGCGAGTCGGTCTTCCTCACCGAACGGGAAATCCCCCAAACTGCTGACTTTACATTTTCGCGTCTCCCGACGACTCTCGTCTATTTTCCGGGAAAGGAAGAAAAATCGGAACATTTGCCGTGGAAACGTTGCAAAGAATCACGGTACATATTTCCTTTAGATATTCCTAAACAGGCCTTGGAGCTGATTCCCTGTGGCTGCGATTTTATTTAATTTTTTAATAGACATCCAACACGGTATCGTTATAAAATAGCATGTACGGGTTTCGATTGGAGGCTTGATATGGGATCGATATAGAATCGATACAGGACTTTGCGTGCAGCCAAGGGCCGCGACTCTCGGACTACTACCGCGCATGCGAGATCCGGACTATTCGACCTTATATAATAAATCTCATCCACCACGTCTAGAGAAGTATCGAATAATGCGCGAGAAATTAGGTTAGGTTTAGATTGAAGTGTCGGCCCGAGACCGGGACGATGATGTCGTGCAGACGTCATTGTCTGGCCCCGACGAAAGCGACCAAGGATTTCCTACGCTCTTGCTTTCGCCCAGGAACTATCGGGGCAAGAAAGTCGGGCAACCAAAGTTGAATCGAGCCGATATAACCTTGTTGCATCAAACTTTGTTAGACGGCTCGACCCGAATTCATTTCATCCACTTTCCCGAGCGAATATCCCACTCGCCCGATCGGGCGCGATCGCGATGAGCTTGCGAAACGTTTTATTCCCTCCTAAATTATCCATCGCCGTCCTTGGCCGTGCAGAGTGTCGCAAGAGGAAAGGAAAAGTCGCGGCAAAAGATGAAAGTCATCATCGAAAATTTACGGGCACGAGTGGGTGGGCCGTAACGTCGTTATCTTACCCCACTTGCAGCTTTCACGCTTTAACGGCGCTTCTACATCGGAGTCGGAGATCTTTGAGGGGTTTTCAGGAAAGGAGCGCTTATAGCTTCTTTCGAGACGAGTCGTTGGTGCAATATCAAGCTGCAGCCGCCCTTGTTTCCCGACATATGAGCCGAGACCTCCTTGTCCTCTTTGAACGACTCGGTTTACAGAGGCTCCAGGATGTGCATACATCCCGCATTACTTGGATACGGTCATGTATGATAACGATCCATCCTGTGAGAAATTTTTCATCGGGACCGACGGACACGATTCCTCAACCCCGAGTCAAAAGTCTTCGCCCTTTGAACGACAAAACGAAGGCGCGAATGAATGCATCGCATTGATTGTGTAATTCCAGAGAAAACGAATGCATGCACCGAGTCGAAGGACGACATTGAAGAGGGATAAGTATAAATCTCTTTGCCAGGAGCCTCTCACCATATATCAGCCTGAAATGCATAGGTCGCATTGCCTTGCACTCGCGACAAATTTACAAACACCCGTTCAGTAAAACCGATTCTCGAGCGCCATGTCGAGAAGCGAGTCGATCTCGTCAACCCCCTTTCGCAACAAGAAAATTGCACCCCGGCAAACTAGTAGGAAAGTTACCGGCCAGGGGAAGAAAATGTAGAGTGCGGTCCGGCGAAAGACCCTCAAAATAAGGAGGGCGAAGAAGGGATCGAATCGCCGCCAGGTCGACCAAGGAGAAGGCTCGAAAGTTCGCTTCGAGCCTTTAACGTAGCGTTAACTCCGGCCGGACGGAAGTAATGCAATGCGTATAATTGGAGCATTGGAATTCTAAATGAATAAGTTGATAAAGCGCAGGGCTCTTGATCTCGAGTTAACTCGAGATGCCGGGGAAAAAAAACAAGGGGGGGAGTGGCGGGTAAAATGGGGGTAATGGGGGGGTAATGCCGAGCGCGAAAGAGCTCGCAACGATCGCCTCTACTTCCCCCGAGCGGCCGTAAAAAGCTGCCGCGCCTGTTTGCCGCGTACTCACGATCCCGCCAATAGACTTACGGGATAATTAAAAGTTTCCATCTGACGCTGAATGCGTGATTAAACTCATGATACTCCCGGGAGGGTCCTGCTAAATGATCTCGATTTAATTAAGCCAAATCGATCCCGGAGAAACTCGATTACGAGCGCCAAGCCGCGAGGCGCTTAGACCAGTTACGCGCGCGAGCGTACTCGACTGCTTACCGTGAATTTCCTCCCTTACTTTTCCCGAGGAAACACCGAAATAGGACGAGAGGATCCCGCCGATAAGCCCTCCCGGAAATTTCACGCATTCTCCCGAGGACTTTTTCTGAGGAAAATTTTGGTCCATCCCCAAGCGGCTAGGGAAAAAGCGCGATTTTCACAACCGCCCTAGCTCGTGCTTCAGCGTCGCACGAATGATAACGTGTGCGCACAATATTCATTTATTATTCCACGAGGCAAACGCCGTTCCGTACGGCACGTTGAAGGCACAATGTTGCCTTCAACTTGCATGCACGTCACATTATATGAACTATCTTAATATCCGGGTGGCTGCCTAATGCCGGCGTCGCGGCGTAGGACGCTCGGCGCGCCTCGCGACTATCGCGACTTTGAGCTCGCTGCTAATTACTTGTCTGACTTTCTGCATATTAAAGGTTATTTAATTCCCCTCCGCGGTCGGAATTTCCGCGTCGCGTCACATCAAGAGACCAAACGCCTCGGGATGTCACTTCGTTAACGCGTTAAGTGCGTCACGAGCCCGACCAGGGTGGAGAATCTAGCAAGGCGCGGCTGCAGTTTCCACCCGAAGGACTTTTTTCGCCTCCCCCAAAGGTTTGCCAGTTCCAGAGTCGAATTAATCCCGATCGCGACATCCATCCATCGAAACGTCCAATCGAAACGTGGGATTAATATCTCACAGGTGCGCGGCTCATTTGTCGGCACTTTCACGAGGTGGTCGCGAGCGCCCGCGAAAATGCACTCGAAACCCAGGCATCATAATCTCCGGAGGACCGCAAATGCACCGCTGCGAATGCCAATAACTGGTCGCATTTGTTATGCATTCTCAGTAATTCGCGACGGTTTGCTAGCGGAAGCTGAGTTAAGCCAGAGCGGATTAACGCAACAGCGGCCACCTACCAATTTCAGCCGTGTGACGTTTCTATTCACAACGACTATTAGGTGCGATACTCTAGTTATGACGCGGGTGCATCGGAGAAGAACTCTCATGCAGCTGCAATTTTAACTCCACGCATGAGGTGACCGGTAAATAATGGCAATGCTTACGGGTTCCTTTCTTCTTCTTCTTCTTCTTGAGCGCTTCTAATTGACGAGGAGAGGACCCACGTACGTTTTCGCGGGTGCATCAGCTCGCGGCGGCCTTCGACACACTTTCGGTAATTGCCCGCGTCGTGCAGCGATTGAACGTACCTTTGGGATTTTCGCCGATAAGTTTAAGACCTAATGGAGGTAAATCTGGTCATGGAAGACGGCCCTCGGTGTTCTTGACACCGATATCGGGACGCTCTCACGCGGAGGATGCTCCTCGATGATGCGATGGCGCCTCGCACCCGAAATTGATGCACCGGTGGAAGATGTGCCGCAATGACGCCGCAATGACGCCGCGTGCGTAACGCGACCCCTCACGACCTTTCGTGATAGATGCCTCGAGGAGAGTGCTGCGTATTGCAAGTGAAAACTTATAACGGATCGACCTTTCAGGTGGTACTTATGGTACATGATATAACGAGATTGGATACTAGTTTACTTAGTAACGCCGTGATATAGCCTCTCCGATTTATATACTTTCCGCGTTATCGAAGCGGAAAGATGACTTGGTATGAATGCCACGACGATGACGACTTCTTCCGTTGTTGATAAAAATGATCGATTGGTACAAAATTTTGCGAATTTTGCAGGATCGATGACAATCAGTCGTGTCGAGGATCATGTCGTTCTCCACGTTACGGTTGCACACACGTTAATATAGGTAGCACTGCAACCGCAGTTCACGCACGTACCGTGACCCCTCGTGACCCACGATAAAACGTCCCCCGTGTTAAAAGCTGCTTATTAAACGTGAATAGGTACTTCGACTAAGCAGCTTTCTCAAGTGCTAAACTAAACCCGAGTCGCGTTACGCACCTTAGACCCGGCACTTTTGCACCGTGCAAAGCTTTCCTTTAAAAGGAAACGCGTTCGATCGAACGTTGCATCCTTTTAATGCAGAAATTAAAATTGACATCGCACCGTTAATTACAATGGTTACAGTGGGGCGTCAAAAGTGAAAGCTCAGAGTCCCTGGTGTCAAGATCGCACCGAGAGGAAAAACTGGAATTTGCCGGATCTCGTTGCAAAGGACCTCGCAACCTCTCTCGAAAACTCATGAAATGAAACCAAAAAAAAAAATTATCCAAGGATTTCCAAATTCCAATTCCGTAATTTCCATTTCCGACGCGTTGAAAATTGTCCTTTAATTAGATAAACGGAAGACGACCATTGAATTAAGAAAGAAAGATCGTCATGGATGATGAATGAAGGATCGTCGTGGATGTACTTCTAGGCTAGATTTTTTTTTCCAGCATCCGCGATTCTTTTCCGCAATCTCGAGGATGTCGAAAGCGTCCTCCGATCGATCTAATCGTTCGAATATGGCAATGTGTGAACACGTAGTGCCAAAACGTCCTTCTTCTGGAAAATCGCGATAACTCGATAAATAGGAGGAACAGAAGACGCGTCGTGGCGTATGAAACGTCATTCCCTAATATTGCGCCAACGGGCAATACAAGATTCCAACGTGACTCGATCCAACTGCCTAACCCACCCTAAAAGATCCGCCGTTGTCCAGTTGCGGAGGAATCGGTGGCGCAACGGCCTTGCTCGTAATGTTACATATCGGAGAACGGAGGATGATCCTCGCTCCCGCGAAAGTATAAAACCCGTCCAAGGCAGATGCCACCTCGCATTCTGCACCATAGCCATCTCCCATAAAGACACAGGGACCATCGGCGTATCGGAACCTCGTATCCTGGGGAATCATCTCGTCGTCTCTTCTGCTCGATTCGACGACATCGGCCATCTTCGACATTGTCCTACAGCGTCTCTAAGAGCGTATTACACCGAAGTCATGAGGGTACGTACAATCGGAATAAAAATCGGAAAAAATGGTCGATCTTACTTGACTAAAAAATTCCTCGATAACGTCCAAGAACATCCGAGGATCACCGTCGGTCCCAAGACCTCGCTGATCCCGAATTCGGTACTTCCACGCGGTGGAAAATGAAATTCAGTCATATCGTCGGAATGATCAAGTTTTTCCCCGGCGACGTCGCGAGTCCGCGGCGGAAAATTCTGAAGGAAATCGCGAGCAGCGGCTCCAGGACTCGCCTCGAGCCGTGGTCGTCCTTTCTCTCGACCATTAGTCGAGCAGAAGAGGCTTTCCGAATCGCCTGTTGCGTCCAGCAACGCGGCTGGCGAAGATGCGTAAAGTAGTTGCGCAACCGCGTTGCTCTCGCATCGGTCTCGCATCACGCTTGCAAGCAAGACCACGTTGGTTCTGGATCAACTCTCGGACCGCAGCTCCGATCGGTAGCCATGACTCGACCATATCTCAGACGGACGCGCGGGAAAGCTAATTATTATCGAAGACTCTAGAGCGAAGGAGAAGAGTCAGCCGGGGCATCTCGATGGTGTCATCCCGGTCGAATCACCAGGCTAAGGAGATCCTCGTTACCGATCTCGATACGCATTACCCGTTCTCGACTGGTTGACCAACACCGCGACCCCGTTGCTTCATCTCGCGTACCCCGTCTCGAAACAGAGCACGGTCCGCGATATCTCCGTCGACTCGGTCCTAAACCTTTCCGTAACCCTTTTTCAGCAGCAAACGTTCGCAGTGACGCTGGCCCTCGTCGTGGCGGCCGTTTCGGCGAGGCCGGAGCCACCGGTGAGCCAGTACTTGCCACCCAACCAGCAATACCCACCACCGGCACCCAATCCGCAATACGGACCACCGCAACCAGGAGGCTCCACGGGCGGGCGCGGCCCCTTTGGTCAGAGCCCTCTGGCTCCGTCCGGACCCGGTGGACAGGGATTCAATAAGTACCTGCCACCCAACCAGCAATACGGCCCACCCTCCCAGCAATACGGTCCACCTGGCACCGGAGGCGGAAAATACGACGGCGACTCCAGTAACGTAAGTTTTGCGGTCTTCCCAACCTCGAATTCCGGGCTCTAGGAATCTCTGACGGATTCCCTGAAGGATCCGGTAGCTAGTGAAAACTCAACTTGATGACATGGACCCTGATGTGGATGGTGATTGGAGTGCAGATCGTGGGTGGCTTGAATTTGGATTTTTTTACTCAGGTACCTGCCAAGTACGAATTCGAGTACACGGTGAAGGATGTCGAGTCTGGAAATGATTTCGGACATAAGGAGAGTCGAGAGGGAGATTTCGCGAAGGGTGTCTACTACGTGCTGCTTCCCGATGGTCGCAGACAGACGGTGGAATACGAGGCCGACCAGGATGGGTACAGGCCGAAGGTTACGTACACCCAGGAGGGTCCCGGAGTCGGAAACGGGAATGCTGGTGGTTATCCCAGCGGAGGCAGTGGCTACCGTTACTAGGATTTGGTAACGGCTAGGATACTTCTCTCTCATACTTGCAATCGTGAGCCGACATTCCCACTGAAGATCTCCGTTTCACGCTTTCACTCATTTAGGATTGCGTCGGATAGGAACCGGGTTACTTAATGAAAATCTCTAGGTTTCCGTGACTCGTGCCATTGCCCATGACACAAAGTGCGCTCCACGGTGACCAAGGGAACTGCCGAGCCGACGTTAACGACCATCGCCATTATCGCTCGGATGCCCCAGCCTCCCTTGTGCCCCGAGTATCCGCACACGAGGTTTAGGGAAAACGCACGTCGCGATCAAAGGTTACGACTAAACTTTCTACCGTCCGCTCTGTAACATAGCTCATTACGCTCATATACGTGTGATTAAAATATAATATATTGTACCGCGCCGCTCCATATTATACATATATAATATATTGCACCTGCGCCACGCGCAACACGAGCATGACTGACGCGTCACCTGAGAATCGAGCGAATCCGTCATGTCATATTTTATAATACAAGTATACGTGAACATATTTAACGTTTTTTCATTGCCCCTGCCCCCTGACTTGCGGTTAAAATCCACTTTGATTCTAAGTTTTTCTTGGTATCGTTTCAAGATTTTGCCACGCTTTATCTTCGGCTCCGATTCGGAAGCATTTGCCCGACTAAATCCGCTACTATTATTTATCGGAGCAAAGTTTCACGAGAAAGGGGGGGGCGCACTGCGCTCGGACGTTAACAATGGCTACTAATACCTAGATGTGCGCCGGTGCGCCCCCGGGTGCATTTAAAAAATGGGTTCAATAAACCGCGATGTACGGCATGCATATTCGGAAAGTAGCGCACAGCGCTCACGGGTAATACAGTCGTCGTTTATCGACGTTGCGGTTTAATGTATTGTCCCGCGCGTTGCTTTTTGAGTAACTTTATTTACTTTTATCGCATCGGATTTCCGGATGCGGTGGGTCCAGGGTTCCGCTTCATTAAAAACAATCCATAATTCACCGATGGTCGTCCGCGCGAGCCGAATTCGAGTCCCCGAATCTGACCGGTCGTACATTATGCCCCGATTAAATGTCGCTTCCGGCAGACCAGTTTCCAGGATTACTTTAACCGACAAACTCGGGCGCGGGTTTATTAATCCGTGTTTCATTCTCTAGCGATTATCTCGGGTCGCGTCGCGCATCAACGGGCGAATTACCCGCAAAGTGTCACAAAGTGCGGACACACATCTCCCGGTGAGCCGGAGCTTCTCCGAAGTTATAAACTCCCCGAAGCTCTCCGGAGCAACCTATTTGCTTACGTCCATCACGCAGACGCAAATTGTTCACGTCCTTTAACTTGCTAGACGTAAGCAAATTGTCCGCTACTTGTTATCGCGCAAGTTTTCCATAAATATAGAAAAATGATTACAGAGTTCCCGGCCGAACGCGGGAGCGGCGACGCGCCGTAGGCGGAGGACGCCCCTTGTCGAGAAGCCGTCACAATTAGCCGGCGTCGAAACAGGGCCAATTATTCCGCCTCTATCGGGCCTTTTGAGAGGAGATCCGCAAACGAGGCCGAAAATGGCTTTATAACGAGAGCCTCGCCGCCTTCGAAACGACACCGGCAAACTGCCGACCTCGTAATCAGGTGTAAGTTAACGCGGCTCGCCGCGTCGGATCGGAAGCCTCTCCTTCGCTAAATCCACGTGTCGCGGTGCCGACTTTCTAACGGCTGGACCAATTGAGAGATTATTCATCTCGATGAGCGATGAGCACCGTCGGCCGGCGAATTTCGCAATGCGAACTGTAATATCGAGAGCAAGGCCGACTTAACGCAACCCGGCGCGACGCGACGCAACCGAACGGCCGAGCCTATCTTGCCCATCCTAGAGATCTTCGGTGCTCCATTTCGTCAGACCCTTGACTCTGGAAATTCACCGGAGGAGCTCCCACCCTGCGTCGCCCCGAGGAATGCCTTTCTTCGATTAAACGTCCGGCACATCTCCGGTTATGGCCCTGCCGCGTGGCGGAATCGTGAGGCAATACCTTTGTCGTTAGGACTCGTTTCGTCCCGCGGCACTTTACCAGTCATTTTGCCAACTAAATCGCCGAAGAGCCGACGGACTCTTCGAGGTTGCGCAAGCGGCGTCGACGAGGCAGAAAATCTCTTCCCCGGGGAGCGAATCCGCGCACGCCTCTAATTTCTGCGTCTCCCCTCCGACGTCGGAATGTCGAAATTCGAGGACTTTAATAGCAGAAACAGCTGATGCGATTTTTCGGGAGCCGGCCTCCTGTGATCACTGCTCACCAGGAAGTGTCGAGAGAGATGCCAGGACGAGGCGAGCAATACTCGAGCTTCATTAAGAATCCGTCTCCGTTGTGCTCCAGAAATGTAACAGGGGCATTTAGAGACATTTCGTTCCGGGATTGCACGACGGAGACGGTATAACAACGCATCCAAAGCATTATGTGCTAATAGGAGAAACTCGATCCCCTGTGAAAGGAATTTCATTTAGAACTGGCCGAATCACCGGACCGTTCGGAAGATAGGTATTCGGAACTCGAATACCGAACCTCGATTCTCGGAGTCCGGTTTCCGATAAATACCTCGCGGGTATAAAAATCGCGACAGGGACTCCTTAAACATCCTCCAAAAATCCTAGAGATTTAATTTATACCCCGAAACGATAAAAAGTGAGGCAAAGTCAAAGTTCTAACCTCGAAATAACGAAGCCCGAAAAAAGAATAACCTGAAGCTTCTCGAAGTCGCAACAGGAATTCGATAAAAATTCTGACAAATTCCTGGATAATTAATTCCTACTCCTAAATGGCAGAAAGTGGGGCAAAGTAAAATTTCGATAACCGAGCTCTGCGACATCGATGATCGAGCGATATGGGAAATCCGACGCAGATATCCGCGGTGCCGAATTTTGGGAACGGCCGCCTCTTTTTCCCTTGAATTTTTCCGAGCAATTTCAGGAGTTTTCAGCAGCGATTAACATGCCTGTAAACATGAAAACCGATTCCTGTATCGAAGCCTGTCAAAACGAGCGTTTCGGCAGGGGACGACAAACGGGAAAAATTGGCACGGCGTACATTGAGGGCGTCGAGTCCAAGAAGTAAATGCAACCGGTGCACCGAATGCGACTCTCTGTGCGCATGTCCTCGCTCTCTCTCTCTCTCTCTCTCTCTCTCTCTCTCTCTCTCTCTCTCTCTCTCTACGGACGCACGATACCCACAAGTACGGGTGCACTTAAACGCGATTAATGACGTGGAGGTCGCCGATGACCGGTATCCGCATTACGACACCTACAGTCGGAGTTGACTCGGAGTCGATCGCGTTTACCGTGAATAATCAACACTCAAGCAAATAATATCCCCGGGATTTTCAAACGCGGCCGGGGAGATATTTCCACCATAAGTAGTTCCGAAACCGTACGAAGAAATTCAAAGTTAATTCTAACCAGTGACAATAGCCCCTAGAAACGTTAAATGCACCGAGACCAAGTGCCTTCATGCTCATCTACGATCACAAGGCCAATTCGAGACGAGCGTTCTGGCTTGCACTATACTGCATCCGACGATGGCCGTCAGTGACCAACGTCCGCGTTGCGACAGCTTACACTCGGTTTGGCAGCGAAACTCCTAACAACGAATAGAGATATATATATTCCACGCAAGTGAGACCCGTTAAAGATCCAGTGCGTCGGTGAAAAGTGCCCTGCAACCGTGCGAGTGCAGCTAGGTGCATCGAAAAAAAAGGAAAAATAGGTACGTAGCCTAACCTAATTCATTCTAGCTCGTCTTTGTTCCGAACCTAGGCGTGCATTTATTGGAAAAAATAAATCAATATAGGTAGGAGAGCTTTGATCTCCTCAAGCTTTTCCCTTCTCGGGCAGATAAGTATATGCACTTTTAAAAATCGTTCCGAGCGCTCTCGAAATGCACTCGTCATCGCAGTCGGACCACGCGAGAATCCTCCGTTTTCGCCCTGTAAGGAAGGATCAATGCTCCAATACGTTTAAGAGAGGAGATTTCAATATTCGATTCGGCTTTCGCATTGTAAGTACCTACGCGCTCCGATTGAAGCCCCCGGTGTAGCAAGTTAAGACTTCAATGCATTTTTAAGCAGATGCCTATAAAGCGGATCCTCCGTTCAGTCAACGCGGCACTCGGGCCCTAATTTAATCCAGCAATGCCTTCCATCTAAATCCACGGCGTGCTCCGGTGATTTAACGAGATCCCTCCGAAAAAACGAGTCGTCGCTTCTTCGAGAGCGTTTAACGGACGCTGGATAAGGAGCGAGGGAAATGCGAAAGAGGTGACGGAAGTGATCGCGCTGGTTAAAGGAACTACGAGGACGTCGACGTCGACGTTTCGGCGTTTCTTGGGGATCCGTTGGCAAGACGTTCATTGTTGGTGCACGAGACTCGAGACCTCGTGTTTGCAATAAGTTGGCAACAGGTGCGTCTTCAAGCATCCCTTAATTGTCAGCCACCGCGAGGAGCACATACGTGAGAGACCGTGATCGCGTCAGCGGTTGGCAGCGCTGATACGTATATTTGCAAGAGACAAATATCTGGCAGTCTCGTTGCAGCCCGCGGCATCTTAAGAAGACCCAACCTGCACTTTGGTATGGATCTCTAAAATTCCACGCTTTCGTATCTCCACCCACTCCAAGTCGGAGCTTCCCGATCGGAAGCAAGACCATGTCTTCCTCCGATCCAAGATAACAGTCGAGTTATTCAATGTTTACGATCGATAACCCTTTGCGTCAAAAGTGGCAATAACTCATTAACAAAACGTGCAAACCGTTATCCGGAATATCTCCCGCGTGTTTGATAATGTTATCTCGATCCGGCACACCTGGTCGGCGTGTCCCCGTTAAACGGATTTAGTCGACCTCGGGATATTGTAACGAACGCGTCCAAATCTGCAGCTTGAATCCTCTTAATCTTCGACCGTTGGGGGTAAACCGAATGCCGGTCCCTGCTTGAAATATCGCCTTTAATTATTGATCACCACCCCCGCGAATATTCACCCCAAACTCGGCATTTCTGGCGAGCTTCTTCACCCTGACTTCCCTCGTCCGACAGGTGACCGATAAGGAGCCGGGGAATTTAAGACGGCCTTAACGCTCCCCGTTTCTCGCATTAAAAGTTTCATCCCGAAAATTCCCGGCAAACTCGACTAAGGGAAAAGAAAAAAAAAAAGAAAATAAGAGAAGGAAAAATAGTCAGAGAAGACCCGAAGGCGCATATCGAGCGCCGTCTTATTCTCGACGTTAACTCGACATTGAACTTGAGCTTCGCCTCGCCTTAGGACTAGAGGGGGGGCTCGTAAATGTCCATAACCGACGTAAACGTTATATCATTACGTAACTGCGTTTATTCACTTCGACGATTCCGTGTCCGTAACTTCCCCGGCTAGCCTCGTAACAAACTATCCGTTTACAGCCATCGAGAGGTATAACGTAGGTGCAAGTCCCTGGTTATAGATTTCCTCGGCGTTCGGTTTATCGTCCTCGACCTCATCGGGTTTAGTCTCAAACTCGAGTCCGACCGGGTCGATCCGGCCAATTAGCTATCCGTAACCAGGAATAAAAGCAAACGCACATGGAGCTCGCCGACCTTCCGACGTTTCCGAATTTCCGGCCAAAGTTTCTAGCAGCCGAAGAGACGTTCGCGTTTCATCTTCCGACCGCATCGCCAAGGGGCCCCGTTCCGTTTCCTGCGCATCCAGAGGTAGCATTCGACTAATCAGAGCCAGCGATCGATTAAGTAGCCACTCAATTACTTCGGGTGGAAATTAATCCCCGGATGTATAAACGACTGTCGACGCATCGCTTTCGAGGCGGCGGCGGCGGCCGCAACAGCAAACTTCCACGTAACCGGTTCCGAGTGCAAACTTTGCAGTTTGCCTTTCAATTTGTCGGCTTTATCCGGCGGAGACGAGCGATTAAAACTTTTTGCTTGGTGGTTGGTGCATGGGTGGATCGACTTCCACCTCGGCATAGTGCCCAGGAAGAACGCCCTACCGGCTGGGAAAGCGAAAGACCGCTCCGCGCGTTAACGAGAAAACCGAGGTCCCCCGTGCACTTTCCGCGAGCGTTCGATTCGGCGCTATTCAAAGGGGCGTTTAAACGGACGTTTCAGAAAGTCTGCCCGATCGAGCCGGATTTTTCCCCTCTCGCGATCGCCCATGACCACGCGAGACAGCTTTCAAGATCGCAACCAGAAATATCCCTCGACTTTCACTTGCTCCCGATTACCAAAAAAATGCCGACCTTGCGCACTGTCCTCCGGGCACGTCTCACCGGGAACGAGGTACAATTAATTTCTACGGCGAGTACACCTTAAAAGATCCCAAAGGAAGATCCTTGACTCCTATTCGAGAGCCATTACTTAAGTCAACGACGTTGACGTTTCATTTTGCATCGTAAACGGCATAATTGAAAGGATTGCCGAAACCCCGATCCGACAAACACGCGATATTCGCGCACGAGGTACCTCTCGCGTCCGTAAAAGAGCGCGTTATCAGTTTCCTCCTTTTATTTCCCAGTCTTCTTAGACCTCCGGATTCCGTCGAAGGTGTCCCCGGATCGCCTCCGACCGGGATTCATTCTTTACGCGCACTCCAATGAAGTAACGATGGATCATCGGTACGTTTCGCCACTCCAGGATTTACGATCGACTCGAAAATCTCGACGTTTTCCCGGCCAATCTTGACTGACACTTGTCCAGATGCGTTTCGGTGGGCTACATCGATTCGAGTCGACGTTGAAGTGAAATTCCCCTCGTCGAGAACGGCTGGAACGAAGAATCGTCACGCAGTCCTCGTCGTGGCATTTAATTTCCATTCCTTAATGAATCGGAGATCGACGGTGCGCTGTCCCACTTTCGAGGGGCTTATCGAGAAGTAATTAGTCCCTTATAATTGGCAAACAGCGCCGGTGCGATTTTTCAAGATCTCGAAGACCTCACTCGTCGACCCAATGGCCCACGTTCAAACAACTCGGCGTCTTCCGTAGTGAAAACTAATCGTGTGAATCCCCGGGAAACGAGACCTCCGGCCAAATCAGCGAACTCTTCTAATTAAAAGATCAATCGCGTGAATCGCTGAATGCCGAAGCAATAGGCAACGGGATAAAGTCTATAGTACCGCCGTTCCCCAAAGAGTACGCCTCCCTTTGGCAGCTATATTGCTCGCAGACGGCAACTTAGCTGGTAATTGAGAGTTCTAATTGAACCCGACATTAACGGCTACGAAAAGAAATCGATAAAGCGAACGGAATCCCCTCGAAGGCGCGTACGTATCGAACACCCCGGCTCGAAGTTATTGCCGCAATGTCGCCAACAACAGAAGTTGCCGCGGGACGGGCCGGAATGGATCCGTCACGAGTTTCCCGAGGAAAAGTGACATTAAAAGAGGAGAAATGGAACTAATTTGGGACGCTCTGCCGGCTCCGCCAGCCGGAGCACCTAATGCCGGCCGCCCTACTTGTCACAGAGGGTTGTACATTCTCGTTCAATGGGTCACCGACCACCTGGCAGTGGCAATTTACTTCCTCCACCCTCTCCCCGCCGTCAAACTCGGGATCAACGCTTTCCCGCGCCCCTAAACGCGTTTTCGCCCCGGATTTCGACAAGGAATTTTCCAATCGTGATAACGCGGCAACGCGTGCGATTCGTCCCGTCTGAAAAATCGGCTAAACTTTGATGCCTAACCTACCCTGACCTCACTTTTCATTTCTCCCAATCGGACCCCGCGAGTGGGGGGAGAGTTCACTCGAGATTGAATCTCTGCGGGGCGAGGAGTCCTCTTGGCTTTAACGACGCGACGAGTCGAATGCTTGATAAATTCATATTACAATAAAATTGAATTGAATTAAATATTCGGGTTATTCTCTCAGGAGGTCGCGGAATTTAATGCTCGAAAATACGTGAAAATCGCTGGAAATTGTCGAAATATTGTCAGGCCGGACGGCAGGTTGGTGGTTATCGGATGAAATCGAAGGTAATTGGTTCTTAAAGATGGAACGGTTTTCACTTATTTCCAAGCCGATGGCCTCTCGGTTTCGACGCGTCCCCGATTATGTAACCCTAGATTAATAATGTAACCCTAGATTAATAATGTAACCGTACAGGGGTGGCTCGGGCCTCCGATTGTCAGATGTCGCGTCGATGATGGAGTGACGACGACGATGACAATCGCAGGACACCTCACAGGACTCTGGACCGAGGAAGGTCGTTAGCACGAATCCCATGGACAGCTAGGTCCATTTATCGTCCACTGGCGGGATTCAACGCCACCACGTTAGGGTTAATGCCATGCATACTCGGCCAGCTCTGAGCCCTTAGGGGAAGCCCGAGGGCGCGTAGGCCTTTGCTCTTCCTCTATAAATGCCGGCCTCGTCACATCCCTTATGGAAGCTTGGAAGCGCGATCGAGCGAGTTACTAATTCACTTCGAAACGCGTCCCTCGAATACGGCGAACGAAAATTAGGAGAGACGATTCGCGGATATCAAAAGAAACTAGCACATTTGATAGCACTTGTTCGATGAACTCCAATCGTAGTGGGAAACTGCATCGGGACCTTGTCACTCCGGATATTGTTAACCTCGTTGTCTTCGATAACAAAGAATCAACGTCCTCGAACGTCTATATACACACGCGTGCGTAATATCTCCTCGTGGTGAGAGTTACACTTTAACTTTAACTTGCAGCTAGATAGTGACGACATTTAAGTGCAGTGATTGAAAGGAAAAATGAGGGTATCGTTTGGTGAAGGAGATAAGAGGAGATAAATATGTATCGCCAATTTTATTTTCGATATGATGCGTTGTAAATTATGCTTGAGGGGAAATATGGCGCATTTCTACTGCATTTTTATAAGGAGTTTTAGAGACGTCATCGGTTCTCCTTCTCTGTTTCCCTGCAGTCTGCACTTTGTATTTCGCGACGATTCCTTTGTGCAAGGAACTCGACGTACTTTCAAGGTCCCTGAGTCATGATTACGAGTTTGCGCGCGAATAGTTTCCAATTTGCAGGTTCTATGTCAAATCAGTTGAGCGCCAGCTTCACCGGCGCAATAGTGTCCGAGTAGAATCGATCGCCGATGTTCCTCTAATAATTATAATTGTACAAGGAACTATGCAAACGATTGTTTGTACATCCGAAGTGTTACATTTTATATTAACAATAAAAATAAAAGCGAGTCGTAATTTTCGTGCGGTGAGAACAAGGCGAAATAATAATCAGGTACTCGCGATCGAGGAGATTCCGCTAGATCGATCCGCGTTTTCATTAATCGGCATTGCTTTTAATATCACTCGAATGGAGCAATTCTTTCGCTCGCGTAAATCAAAATACTTGGCAATATATGCACGTCATTTTTCAGTAGCACACGTGGAGGGTATTCTGGAGAGAAAATGCGCCCTGTACTTTCGCTCATAAATCCCAAAGCCGCGAGGTGTACTGCACGATGCAAAACATTCGCAACTTTTCCCGTCAGTATGGACCGGAAAGATGACATCAATTTAACATGGAATAACGCACGACCCTACACGGAGATCCCTGGACCGAGATCCCTCCCTGTGATTGGCAACGTCTTGAAGTTCATCCCTTACATTGGTATTGCATGATTTACGAATTTTTAATACGTTCTCTAACGTCTTATCATCTAAGACTCGTAGTCCATCGACGTCGAGAACTGTACAAGGTTGACTAAAAAAATGATTTCCCAGAAAATCGTGACATTTTATAAGCGGCTCTTTGCACTTGCAAGAAAATTGTACAAATTTGAAGGGAAAAAAAAAAATGTTTTTATTCGAATATGTTTTATCGAAATGATTATTATTTTCATTTTTAAGCGGTTCTTTGCAATTTACAGGTGAATATGGCGATTTGTCGCTCTCGGATCAGCTGGATACGATGCATCGCCAATTCGGAAATATCGTTAAATTGGAGGGGATTGGTAACAGACGAGACGTAGTGTTACTATTCGACGCCGATCTCTGCGAAAAGATGTACAGAATCGAAGGACAATGGCCATTGCGAATAGCTATGGAAACGTTGACGCAATATAGGAAGGAGCGGAGCGAGACTTATAAAGGCCATTTTGGCTTGGCCGTAAGGTTCGTCTCGGCAACGAGTAAATCAACAATTAATGACGCTTCTAACCCAAATAACGAATTTTTCCTCTTCCACCAGTACTCATCCAATGATTTATTTTTCAGCCAGGGTGAGGACTGGCATAAATTTCGCTCGAGGGTAAATCAACACATGATGCAACCTCGCACGATCAAACCACACGTGGACCAAGTAAACTACGTGGCCGATGACTTTCTGGTTAAGATTAACAAACTGAGGGACAAAACCACTATGGAACTGCCCGAGACGTTCAACAACGAATTGTACAAGTGGGCCCTCGAGTGTACGTACGAAGTACTAGGAAGAATATTTCCTCTCCTTAATTAAACTATGCCGTTTACATATATGCAAATCTTGATCCACAGCCATGTGTGTGATCGCATTGGAGCATCGCATGGGATGTCTCGAATCCAATCTATCTCCACACTCGGAGCCTCAACAAATGATAGATGATGTGCACACAATGTTCGACCTGTTCTATAAACTAGAAGTCCTCCCTTCCTTATGGAAAGTGTACCGGACCCCGAATTTGAAGAAATTGTTCAGCACTCTCGATAACATCAACCGGTGGGTGCAACCTCGGACAGCTGCTCAATATGAATTGTATTTTGCATATAACGATACCGATCCCGAATAGAATCATCATCAGACACGTAAATGCTGCAAGTGAACGACTTCGGAATTCTTCGGTAGAGGACAAACAAAATCTCAGCATGTTGCAGAGACTTTTGAGCATCGACGAACAAACGGCATACGTAATGGTCATGGACATGCTATTAGCTGGCATCGACACGGTAACTACCCGGACCCCTTTCATGTTCTTTCCTCTACTTAAGTTTTACATGTTTTTTAAACCCACAAATAGACGAGCAACATGGCAGGGATATTGCTCTACCACATGGCGACGAACCCGGAAGTGCAGGAAAAGCTGCGAGATGAAATTTGCACTGTTTTGCCAGAAAAGTCGAGTCCGGTGACGTTTAAGGCGTTGACCGAGACTACATACCTTAAGGCTTGTCTGAAAGAGTCGCTCAGGATAATGCCCATTGCGATAGGAAGTCTAAGGACGATGCAAAATGACGTTGTCATCGGTGGATGCCAAATTCCGAAAGGAGTGAGTCCGCTGTAAAATATATCGAACGCCTGTACGATCGTTTTGATAAAAAAGGCGAAAAAAGAAAAAACGATCTACACCGCGCATCGATTCACAGGATCAGATTTCATCGATCAGCAGGATCAGATTTATCTGGACCAATGCAACGCTATACTTTTAACAGCGAAATTAATATCGAACATCTCCTTTCCAGGTCGACGTGTTGGCCTGTCACTCGACGTTGTCGCGAGATGAAAGGTACTTCCCAAATCCAGAAATGTTTATCCCGGAAAGATGGCTCCGAGATAATGCCAGCGGATTATCGGCAAAAACGGCTCACCCTTTCGCGTACATGCCATTCGGCTTCGGCCCTCGCATGTGCATCGGTAGGAGATTTGCCGAGTTGGAAATAGAAACACTAGCGATGAAGGTTAGTCCAAAACGTTCCCCTAAAACTATTGTCCGCAAATTTCTATCTTCCATCTTCTTTTAGGTAATACGAAATTTCAAGTTAGAATGGGACAGAGGACCGCTGCAAATCAAGAGCCGCTTCATCAATACGATAAACTCTCCTTTGCAGTTAAAGTTAATAGACGTGTAAAATATTTAATTGCTGTGCATCTAGTGCATCGTGGGAAGCACATATAAACGAGGTGCGTAATGCACGTAATGTCTAATCAGACAAGAGACGAGACCTTTATAAAAGCGCCAACTCATTATAAAAGTCGTTTAATATCCGTGATCTTTCGCTTGCCATTTCGTACAAAATCCTGTATCTCTATTTATGCTAGTAGGCACTTTATCTCTTATTCCTTTCCGAAGGTGTAACAAAAACATGCAAGGAATAATTAACATAATGCGCAATATTCGGACATTCGTGCACCCTTCACCTTCTTTTATTACTGCCGCCCTGTTTACTCCATGCACATGTGCAACCGTGATATAAATTGTAGCATAAGCACTAACTTTATACGAACTCAGGACGTACTAATTGAATTACCCGGAGCTGGAGAGCATAAAAGTTTATAATATTCACTTTTGGAGTCTCGCTTCGTTTCGGTTGGTCAAAGTTAACCAATTCACGTGGGTTTTTGAAGGAGGTAACTCCACGGTCACAAACAAAACAAACCAGGATAGGGTGGAAACTATCAAAGCAGAGCGTAACATTAAAAAGGGATAGAACTTGCTCATACTTATTTTAAACAAACAAAGCGGCAAAATTCGATAAAACAAGCTTATCGATTTCGTCATTTGTAAGAACTCTGTATCCTCGTGGTAAAAAGAAACGTAAGAAAGGAAATTGCAAAAGGATAAATAAATGTATATTTTAACATAATACTGTTGGTATCATTTTAACATTAACGGAACGAAATTATTTTCCCTTTGGAAACGTAAACAATACTAGTTGCTTGGCATCTGAAGTTTCGTTCACGTTTTCGATGCACTTCGCGATCTCTGGCGAGGAACCTTCCAAGGTTCGTCTTAATGCGCAGAGTTGGTCAAGACGGCCTAACCTAGAAACATTAAGATTCACGGAGTAAGACGCATTACCTGTCACGTTACCCGCGGTAGTTAATCGTACTATCGATAGGGCACAAACTGGCAATCCGTCGATAATGAATCTTCTGTGCTCTGTTTAAAACCGAACATACTCCCAGATGGTAAAGAAATTACTGACGGGCTAGGTCCCACGATCGCGTTCTGTGCCGTCCAACGGTGGAGAATGGACATACTTGCCATTTGATACCCTCCAGTGGCGGCCCAACTCAAAGATAAGAGGACCCCTGCAGAGATGAGTTGGGACATTGCTCACGGGCAGGGTCGCGCGATTGTGGCGGGCCCGGGACGAAGTCCGGCCATCGACCACCTGGGGCGTAGCGTGCGTCGAGCGCGATGCGATCAGGACGGAGTAAACTGCGTTACCCCGCGTGCACATTACTTTACTTACCTCGAACCAAAAGACGACTACGTCGGAAAATGTTTACTAAACGGTTGAAAATCGATGAGAAGACTTTGTGACCAATTCTAGAGCGCATGTGGAAATCCGCTCCTTTTGCTATGAAAATAAAGCAATAACTATAAATAAAGTGGTGAAATATATTTGACAATCCCCACACGATCGCATCCTGTGCTGCCCTCTGGTTTCGTATGTTAGCTTTCACCGTTTTTTGCCCCCAAGGGCGGCGCAACGAATTTATGGTAGGGGCTCGCGCACTCGCGATGGCGGTGTCATCTACCAGTAACCGTTGACAGCTCACATACTCGTGATGGTAATACCATGCGAGTGTGACGGCATCGCGAGTGCGCGAGCCCCTACCAGAAATTCGTTGCCCGCCCTTAGGGGCAAAAAACGGTGAAAGCTGACGTACGAAACCAGAGGGCAGCACAGGATGCGATTGCACGATCCTGCCCGTAAGCAATCTCCCAACTCATCTCTGCAAACAAGACTGAACAAGACTCTGAGAAGCTTTCATGAAATTGACTTTTTAAAGAATGTGTACCAGGATTGGCGATGAAACCTGTTTTACTATATTATAAGAATTTTAAATTTGTATTGACTACGAGATAGTCATTAAAAGAGAAGTGAACCAATTAAACTGCGTAATCTAGGGAGTGAACTCATGTCAGCCAAACCTAACCTCTCTCGAGAATTTCTCCAGGCATGTCAAGCCGGTGATCTGCTAAGAATTAAAGCACTTACTGTTGAATTTAGCGTTAACAATTGGACCGTTCATCGGCAGGTCGTTTCTGATGACACCCCACTGCATTTAGCTGCTCGAGAAGGTCATTTGCATGTCGTTAAGCACCTTTGCGAAGGATGGAGTAGACCATCTTACAGAGTCGATGTCACAAATAATGATATGAAAAGGCCATTGCACGATGCAGCACAATTTTCTAGAAGCGATATATTGAAGTACCTAATTCAGCAAGGTTGGTACTTAAGTCATACTTCGGTGTACACTCTTGCAGGTTGATTCCGTTATACGTGAGTCTTTATAAAATTGTTCTTAATTCTCTTTCTTTCATTATGGAGTGAAAAACGTTACGAAAGGGTGATATTCTTTTTGAAGGTGCTTATGTAGATTCGTTGAAACGGGGGGATTGGACGCCACTTATGCTGGCATGTACAAAGAAAAACACGAAAGCACGTGAATGCGTCGATGCCTTATTGAAAGCAAATGCGAACCCATTTATTCGCAATAAAGATGGTTGGACACCGTTATCTCTAGCTTGTCGAACCGGTGATGTAGAGGTCATTAAATTGCTACTGGATCGCTTTCCTGAGAGTATCGATACTAGGAGTAATAATGGCCGTAGTGTTTTACATATTGCTGGTGAATATGACTATTTAGTGGTTACGCATATTTTTTTTGCAACCTGTACATTTATTAGCACAAGCACTTTTTTAATTCTATCGTCGCACTCATAAGTTTAATTCAAAACAATATATCGTCCTTTCAGCATTCCATGATTGCGAGAGCACGATCAGTATTCTGGTAGCTAAGAACGTAAATCTGTTAAACTGTCGTGATTCTTCTGGATCTACTCCGCTACATGAATCTGTAAAAAGTGGATCATCAAATGCAATGAAACTTCTGCTGAAACTAGGTGCCGATGTTACATCTGTTGACGTTATTGGACAGACTATCTTACACGTTGCTGCATTAGTGGGAAACATCGAAGCCATAGACTATATTTTAAGAAATAATTTAATTCCAGTTAATGTTGAGGCACACTTTAACATGACACCTCTTACTGTGGCACGTAGAAGCAAACAGGAAGATGTCGTTAATTTATTGCTCAAATTTGGAGCAAACAGATAGATGTCCTTTCTTCATGGTGAAAACTAGATATAGGAAGAAAGGGAACGATAGACACTTTGAATAAATTCAGACTGTTGTATTCAGAGATTGGTACACATTTATTTATTCAGTTTCTTTATCAGACAGTCTTAGAGAAGCATACAAAATCAAGAAACGAGGCGCTCTCGCGAGTTGAAAAATATCTGTCTTACGTTCTTGTTGCTTTGAGTTTTGGAAATGCACAAGTAGGCGATGAAGTACGAATGCGCGCTGCTTGCTCGCAAATACCAAAGGACATTGGACTCCGGAGTCCTGGTAAATGTATCATACAAAAGAAGTCTATTATCTGAAAATCTCTATTAACCGTAAGAAACGTACATGATTCCTCCGCCGAGCACGACTTCTATGCCAGCACCGTATAAGTGAAAGTTCTGTACAAAAGGGAACGGAAAAGATCCTCGAAGTCGGAAAATTTTGGCCTGGTATTCGCGTGCAAATATAGTGCGCAATTGTATAATGGACAACTGAAACGATAACTCAACAAAGGAACATCTCGACTGGACAGTATAGACAAGTGTGACGATGCGAGATACAGCGTTACGGTCTGATTCTCGAGATGATACAGGAGGGAAGATTACTTTATAAAACGGCTAAGGATAAAACATGCATTGTATATCTGTCCATCCGATAAATGCTGCATATGTTTAAAGTTACGCTCGATCGATGCACGGTTTCGCGTGCTTGAGTCCATCCTTCATTCGTTTTCCCTACTTTAGTTGGAGTTCGCGTTATAAATATCCAATGATTACTTGGGCTTCGATACTTTAATTTCTTCAATTAATTTATTTACATACCTATTATGTTTAGGGTCTTAAGTTAAACTTACGCGTCCGCCATTTTCGTCTCACGTTAGTCGTTCGTCTTTCGTTACTATTTACTAGTAAGTTTTTTTTCCTTTTATTTAGATCTCTTCCTCATTCACCTGCTTTCGCTCGGTCATTTCATTCATTGTCCAGCGTTGATGTCTCTTCGCTCTCATTTACATTACAAGTATTCAACATGTACAAAGCCCTATTTACACTATTTACATTGTACGTTACTTAATGCGATGTACGTAACTAATTACCGTAATAACGTAAACGCTCTGACGCGATGCCGGTTCCCTGTAAATGATATATCGTCGCGAATTCCCTCGCCGTTCCCTAATCCTGACCCTAGTTGTATCGGATGGAATGTGAGTCATCTTTACGATTACCTGAGATTACGCGTTTCGTGACGTAACATTGTGCAAGATAGAAAGAAGAAAAGTGCACGACGTATAAGGAATCGTCTAATATCCGGGCCCTTTAAGCGAGCCTCCACCTTCTAACGAAGATCACCAACTGTCGAATGATTTTTAGACAACGCGTCGTTATCGTTTTCCACTTGGTTAGAAAATATTTTTACTCTTCGCCGTTGCGATTAAAAGAACACGAAGATTCGCTTACTTTGGACTATTCGGTTATTTGTATTATTTACATAGAAGTGTATTGCTCTGCAATGGTGCCATTCCATTCGTTAGAAGTACGTTGGAAGAAGTAGGAACGAAGTCTTTCTAAGCAATTGCATTGCGTGACTCGATTATATGACTCATGCTGATACGGCACTTGACATGTAATTAGGGAAAATGCGACAGCCACTGATCCTCGCTATTGTTGCGAACGCATTTTCGTTACGCTCTTACATCGGTTTTCTTAATTATTAACGAAGAATAAATTTTCCTGCGATAAGCATTCGGTAGTTACTTCACTTCCACCAATCTTCCGTCACGAATTTCGATAGTTTTCTTTGTTCGTTTGTCTTTTCCGAGAATGCAGTCAATTACGGGATAATCTTACAACGGTGTAACTCTTAATTTACAGGGCGGTCGACGCGGTGCGTTGACGGTTCCGTTGTAAAGCAAAATTCGCCGGTCCCTTGGTGTAAAATATTGAGCAAACCCAATTGTTACAATGAACGTCCTGATTGATAAGACAATTCTAATTTCTCGTATATCTTAAGCGACACGCTCGCGTCGAGACTCTTGTCGAGGTCGTTTCTAAGTGGTCGAAGATCGTAAAAAAGTTGACCGATTTGAAACTTCATCTTTTCCTTACGTTGTCAACTTGCAAGAATAATTTGAAATATGCTTAAGGAGGTTACGGAAGGATGTCCTCCTTCGACGGTAGTCATAAATAAAAAGGTAGCGAACAATGGAAATTAATGCCATCGGCCCGATAAGGCGACACTTCGACAAGAGCGAAAAATGCGACCGTGGTTTTGACTTTGGTAGTAAAATCATTCTTGGACGCGATCGTTAAATGAATATGAGGCCGAATGTCGCGAGTTACACGCGATTCGCGGTCGTAATTGTCAATGTAGAATCCGCGAGCGAATTTTCACCCTGCTACGAGGAGCGATTACAATTTAACTGCGGGGAAACCAGGGAACACTTATACACTTAACACAGCAGTACCATTAATACGGTTATTTCTATTACAATTGCCTACACGTGTATTATCATCATAGACTCCGGGTGTACGGGAAAAGGAATGCACGATTCGGCGGCGGTTTTCGAATAAATAAATGGTCAACACTTGCCACCCAGAAAGGGTCAAATCGTGCACCGCTTTCGCATCACCCGAGCGCTCTCCGCAAAGCGGTCGTCGTCGTCGCCATTCGTTGACATCTAACCACCATACAAATCATCACCAAAGTGCAGGAAATTCCCTTCGATTCAGTCGTATCAAATTACCAAATTGAATAGTTTCTTTTTCGGAAGGAAATATCCTCCATTCTGGCAACGCCACCATGTCGAGGCGAGCGGTCGCAGCTGCACCTCTACCAATTGGATGCAATTTTCTGCTTAACGGAGTTCAGTAGGAGAAAAACGTGCCGTAAGAAAGTTGTCGACCATTAAGCGAGGGACAACTTTCGTCCGGAACATTTTTTCATACAACGCATCGTTGACGAAGAAAATTGCGTTTCCCGACGCAAGTGCGTCCGCTCGGGCACGCACGACGGCGGAGACTTCGACGCCTGGAAGACAACGATTGGCGATTATCGCGACGATCGATCGATCACAATAACGCGACGTCGCTCCGTCGTCGCTGGCCGATTAATTAATCGTTATTAACATTCACGATTGATAAAAAATAAATAGCGCGCGGGATCTCTCGTAGTTACACCTTAGATACGCATACGATATACCGTCTCGTTTTCATTTTGAATCAGCAGAGAGGGGAACGAAAGGAAGAAAGGAAAAAATCAAAAAATGAACAGTGACTAAGTCTCGAACGACGCTTCATTCGGAAGAAAAAAAAAATCGCATATCGCTACGCCTGCACTTCCTACTTTTGCTTCGCCTTGTTAGTGTAATTATTACTGTGTACATATACATATACATATATATATTTATAGAGATATTTATAAAAATAACATTTTGAAGACAAAAACATAACGTTCGAAAGCAATTTACAGAGAAGGGAGATCGGGGCGGGAGGGGAGGATCGCAGGACGCGATCGGTGAAGGAATTTTCGAGTCTCTCGCGTTTTTGCCAGGACCTGCGCCGAGCTTTTCGATACGCGCCTTCGATTTAAGGGGAAATTTCATTTCCACCCGCGGGGGTACTCTTTTGCTTCGTGGTTTAAATCCCGAGACTTGTTCCCGCGTGCACTTTGCCGAAGTGCGCTCTCGTCCCGACGTCCGGAAATTGGGACGCGTTCAATAATTCCGGATCGTTCGAAAACGGACCGGGATAAAAAGGGAAAAAGAAAAACTGAAGGACCCCCGGAGCACTGGGTTTCGGGGTTCCACGCGAGCGCTGATTTTGCAGAATGGGAAATACATCCGGCAAATACGTTCCGATCGATGTACCGCTGCGGAGTCCTCGTTACAGCCTTTGGTACATCGGAAGGTCTTGCAGGAAAACCTGACATCGCTGTTACTCCGCGTTTACACGGTGGTTTAAGGGACCGTCACTCGCTACGACGTTAACGACGATACCCCATCTTTACAACGTAAACACCCCAGTTACAATGGTTACAACGTTACCGCGATCTTCCTGCAAGATCGTAAAGACGCCATGACATTTGAGTGCTCTAATGGCCCAAGGTTCCTTCCAAGTTCTACGAACCCTCGAAGAAACGAAACGTTCGCCAAACATCCATGCAGGATGAGCTTGCGCCATTAGAGTAAATTGTAATACCGTGTTCTAATTAAAAAGAAAAAAAAATCCGCAGGGAAAGAAATCCTTGCGAATTCAGGTGGAAGTACAGAATCAGCTCTGTAGCGTCGCTGCAGCCCTTCCACTGTATTTCCATAAACCCTGATTTATCACGAATAAGAAAAAAAAAATCGCTACGATGCAAGACGATCACCTACCCTCCGTGCACAGGGTGGAGGTAAACGTTACCTCCCTATATTTAACAAAAAAAAAAAAAACAAAACTAGGCATTCTTATCTAGAACCTAGCCCTGGACGCTTTCCAAGCGAAGAGCCGTACTGGTAAACGACTTTACAATTTGCACCACGAAGTGGTTTGGAGTCAAAGGACGCAGCGACGTTGCAGCGTTTCGCGGCCACCGAGCGTCGGTTTCGTCACCGAGTTTGGTCATTCGGCAGCGAGCGAGAAAGCGTGGCGATTCCCGAACGCCGAAGATCGGCGCAAATCTGGCAGGACGATAGGAGTTCGTTTCCGAGTCGCCGGACGCTGGTCCCGCTGACCAGCGTCCCGGCTCGCGATCGTCGGGTCTGGACTCGCGACAAATAGGTCGTCACTGAGACTTCGACGGTACCCTAATCTTAAACCTTAACGCTTAATGATATATCGACAGTACCTATGATTTGTCCGCTCCATTGGTTGTCCCTCCGGCGAGTCCCTGACGTCGCGGTCCGTCGACGGTTCGGCGACATGTGTGAGGATTTTCGGATTTCCCGATATCCGAGTTCCGTCGACGGGGACTGCGTCGTTCTCGCTTCGGTCGGACGCGCTCGTCCACTCGCTCGCTCCTATCGCGCACACGCGTCCATCCCCGCGATGCCTCAAGGAGCCGGCCAGGACTCTTCGAGGTCGCCGGTCGCGAAAGGCCAGCTGGAGGATCCCTCGACGCGTCGCCGAGGAGGGATTTTCAGGGTCCAGCTCTTCCCGGAACTTCCGATCGTTCCATGCGCGTCAACCGCGAAGTTCGTCCCTCGTGGAGTCGTGGACTGCGGAGGCCCGAGCAGGGCAAGTCGCTCGGGTGGGTTTTCCGCTCCCCACTGGCGACCCTGAAGTCGAAGGGGTGGAAGAGCCGAGTCCACGTCCAGGAGGACGTGGGCCCCGGAGGTGGCGGCCGCGAGGTCGGTCACCTCGGAGGAGGAGCGTCCCAGGCGACCGGTGGCCGAGGTCGATCGCGCCCTGCGCGTCGACGCCGGGCTTAACACTCGCTGTAGGAGGGCGGCGGGACGTTGCGGCCCCCGTAGACGTCGGTTTGCGGCTGCAGGTGGCAGACCACCTTGTGGCCGTTCAGCACGGCGACGGTCCGGCCGTGGTCCTGCGGCGGCGCGCCGTACCCTGTCGGCAGTCGCGGCAGCTCGTCCAGCTCGTACTTGGGCTGTTGCCGCCTGAACTTCTCCCAGCAGGCGTTGAACGTCCGCTCTTGGGCCGGGCTGTACTGGGAGGCGTCGTAGTGGATGGCGTTGCGGTCCAGGGTCTGACCGTAGTGGCCCAGGCCGCGGTCGTTGGCCGGCGAGTACGGGATCAGAGGTCGGTGGTCGCCGTAGCTGCGCGACGACTGCCTGCTCATGTCGCTCTGCCGCCTGACGTCCTCGTCGGACATGTCCGAGACCTGGACCTCGGCGCCGCGCTCGATCTCCTCGTAGACCGGGTCGTCCTCGCCCATTGGGCCCCTGGATAGGTGCACGTGGTGGTGGGCCACGTGCATCGGGTGGTGCGCCCCACGGCCGTCCCTGATCTCCGTATAGGTGTGGTTGTAGGGCGACGCCGCCCTCCGGCCGGTGCTCGTCTTCATGCCGGCCACCGTGATGCCGCCCCCCATGTTGACTCCCATGCTGCCTCCCATGCTGACCCCGTTCGCCGCCTCGGCCGCCCCCTCCACCATCGCCTTCCGGTCCCTGGCTCGACCCGAGTGGCCCAGGGTCATCGAGCCGTGGGTTCTGGGCGAGTCCTCTTGCTCCGATCCACCGTGCCCCGAGTCACGGGAGTACGACTTAAAAGAAATGTTCTGTAGGGAGAAACCAGAGATTGGGTTACATGGTGGTAGATCGCGGAGGGTCGCAGGGTCGCGCGGTCTACGTGGATCGGTCTCCGAGATGATGAACGAAGAGAACCCTAGTCCTTGATATTCGGTGTTTCATCGGATTCGCGAGGTAGTTTGCTCGACCCGAGGGTTGCGGGGCGGTTATACTCGGAATTTGAAAATGGGCAATGTAAGAAAATTGCTTCGAACCGGTAGGATGAAAAGTACTCCGAACCGCAAAGGGTTCCGTCCAGGCGCGAACCGGTAGAAACGGAACTGATCCAACTAGAGTGTAGATTCACAAGCGTTATTCGCGTTACACGCGAGTACTCTGGGAGCAGTCGCGTGTATCGGAATAAAAGGGTGTATGCAGGTCATGCACGAGAGAGAAGAAATTTCAGCCGAAGACCCTGCTCCCATTAGGTCCATCGGGGTCGTAGGACCTGGTGATGCACCTCTTCGTGAGGGTTCCTATGGCTCCATAATGCCAGACTTGGTCGCCATCTCAACTTGGAACTGCGGCAGAGCTGGGTCCTCGGCTTCTCGAGATCACTAAGTTAGTAGCGAGGCGCGTTAGCCGTGAATTAGTTACCTTCCACGCGATATTTTTGTTAAAGAACCCCCAGGTTGCGGTGGCAGATTTCGGGATATTATGGGGAGCTGAGGGGAAAGCGAGTCGGACGTAGGGCAGCGTCTCCACGATACGAATCTCTGACGAGGGTTCTCGGGGCACAGCGACTGCTGTTGCCGGCACTGCCGGCTGCCCCTCGCTAGTTGGCCAACCTCGGACGGACGCCAAATACTGCAAACCAACGTTTAAACCAGACTCTCTTTACCTGGTCCACTTTGCGCTCGAGTACTTCTAGAGCTTTACTACATCTCGTCCTACAGCTGCGCACGCTGGACGGCATCTGAGGTATGGGTTTTGGGATCGTCTTCGGGATCGTCAGGATAGTCTACCGTCGAATCCCCTCCCATCGGTACTTTACCACAAAACGTTGGTCCTCGTCATCGTCCCCTCATTCTCCGTCGTAGGTACGCGACAGGAACTTTCGTTAGGTACCCGACGACTCGGGTGATCCTTCCGCTTGATCCAGGACGAAACGGTTCGGCCTGTCTCGGAAACGTGCGTCGATTCAGGTTGAAGCCCGTGACGTTTGCATGCACGCTTCCAAGCCGTGCGTGTCGAGGGCGTTACACGTAGGGACGTCAGCCACATATTGGGAGAAGTCACGCAAAAGGATCCCCGAGGTTCGCGGCCCCCAGTCGATACCTAGGCCCCCTAGGCTCGGATGGGAACTACTTACCGGGTGCAAAAGTGAATCACGCGAACTATGCCTTTCCCCAATTGCGGATTCCAGGTAGACACGTGATTACCTGGGAGGAAGCGCGTCATGGGCTCGTCCAAAGGATCTGGAAGGATGGGTTGGTGGGTTTGGGACTCGTTCTCGGGTGGTACTTGGGCAGGGGCTTCGCGCGCTGCGGCCGTGCAGCGGACGAGGCCCTCGGTTCTAGCGCTTTTCAGGAAGCGATCGACCTCGAGGAAGGTTTCCGCTTCGCCAAAGGAGTGCACAAGGATCGCCGAATTTCGTGCGTGCGAGAGTCGCAGGAGGCGCGGTGGGACGTGGTGATGCGGTAGCAGCAAACTCGCGAGGCATTGCGTTTAAGGACGTGGGTGCGAGATTCTTCGGACTTAAAATCTAGGCCTAAGGTACATCCAGTCGCCTGCACATTACGAATCTTTCGAGTATCGCGCTCTCTTCCGCAGCTTGCCCACTGTCTCTGTTTCGCTCTCGCTCCCAGCCTCTGGGGTGAAACTCAAGTCAATACGGTTTTGTTTTCCTCGAGTTTCATGGTAAGTGGACCTAGGATTCGCTCGACGTTCGCCATCAAGTTCGATTCCAGGAACCGAACTGCAACGAGTCCGTTCGCTTGGACGAGCTCTCGTTTCTCCGTACCCTGGAGGGCTCGGAAACGGACTCGCAACTGCAAGGTCGGTCCGACACTCGAGCCGACCTTGCCTCGCTATCTGTGCCGATCGTCGGAGGTAGGTTCGAGGTACAGAGATAGAAACGAAGAGGCGAGTGTCCGAGATCAACGAGAAACCATGCAGAGACGGTGGGAACTCGGATGACACAGAGTGGGCAAAGTAGCCGGCAACCGCGTACACCAAACCCCGCCAGAAAGAGTAAGCGTAAAGAATCACCAGCGTTAGTAAAGGGTTCCGTAGCTCTCTCTAAGGGTGCGATCGATTAGGGTCTTCGAGAAGTCGACCTTTCTCGGCGCTACTCCTCGCAACGAGGACGACCTACGGCATGCTTGCGAGAGATCTGCGTTAGGGGTCAATGGAAACTTTAACTTCTCCACCGACGGAATGGCCCGACTACGCGCTTCCTACATTTCTATGCAACCCTATCGCCGGTAGTTACTTTCTACCGAAACTGTTCCAGCAACGTTATCAGGACGGGATCCCTCCGGTGAGTCGATTCATGCTACTTCGATCTTCGAATCGATTGAGAATTCGCTCGAGTCGGTCCAAAGACGAGCTGGACGTCCTAGTTTCCTCCCATCCGTACTTTCCCCTCGAGCCCGGAAACTCCCGCGGTGAATACCTCATGAGGATGCATTGAAAGAATAAAATTTATCAAGGTACCGCACGTCGCCTAGTTGCCCAGCATTGAAGAGGCCCTTAAACGCGCACAATTAAAACTCTTCTACGTGCACCCTCGCCCGACTTCTCCGCCATGCAATCAGCCCGAGTTTCAATTCCACGGAGCGTCATCGACAGCCGAATAATTTCCCCGAACGTCGTTCCGGAGCCGAGATGACTAATTCCGAGCACTCGAGGTGTGTCTATCGCTCGCGAATTCTAATCGCTTCCCCCTTGAGTGAGGGCTCTAATGCTGTACGATACGACCGCACGCTACCGGTTCCACGCGATACACCCTGAGGTGGGACGTAGGTGGTAGCCCATTTTGCGTGTTTGAAACAAATCTAGCTATCGGTACCATCGCGTAATCAGGGCCAATTTCTTCGGTGGAGAGCCTACGAGAGTTGTTTAACAACGGCGGTGTCTGGAGCGGTTTCGACCCACGCTCGTCAGCTTCCTCCACCACTCGGAATTCACTGGATTTCTCATATCCAGTGGTTCCCGAGGTGATGGAAGACTCGCCGACGTGGGCTCGAATCCCTGGATCCAGGTGGATTATTAGTTACTGGCAGAGAAAGCGAAAGACCACGAGCGGGTGTCCTGGTTTGGTGTATAAGCGGTATTTGGATACCTTGCTGGGCGGGATGCCTATTGTGGTTGCTAGGTGCCATCATGTGCATCTGGTGTGCCCCGACCGGCGACCTCAGCGACAAATTGCTCAGGTTCATGTTTATCGAAAGATTCGTATTGTTACAGGCTGCTGCCAGGTTGCTGTGATTGTTCGGTGAGGTACCCACATTGGCAGGGGCGTGCAAGGAGAGTCCTGAGCTGTCGGTCGTCGGGGCGGACGCATTTGAGGATGTGTTGTGGGACGGGAAGTCCTTTCCGCCGTTGGCCCCCGCAGGACCCCCCGAAGTGCCCGAAGACCCTCCCGAACTTCCGGTCATCGTCTTCGAACACCTCAAGCACTTCGGCAGCCAGGAATGACGTCGGATGAACTTGCGGTACTCTTTTCGGACCTGGAACGAGAAACGGACGAGGTCCCGGAGGACATTTTAGGGGAGCCTGTGACCAACTCGTGCTGGAGATGTTCCTTCAAGGACTCCAGGATTCTCTATAACGAGTCTGGCGATAGGACCATGGACGGTAGGATCGAACAACCATGATTTGGATCACGACCTTACCTTTTCATTCTGCACGCAGTGGAACACGAAGATGAAGAGACCCTGAAGACTGTTTAAAACGGTGAAGATGTACGCCATCACCACGGACTCCTGGTTCAGGTAGAGCAGCCCAAAAGTCCACGTGAGCCCCAGTAAGAACACCAACACGATGGCTCCTCTCAGCCAAGCCCTGATGGAACCACAAAAGCATGGTTAGGAGTCGACAAATCAACTTCCACGATTAATTTTAATTAACCGCGACTAAAGCGTAGAAACTTCCCAGACGTTCTTAGAAAACGTTCCTGCAGGTTTCTAGGCCTTGTCAGCCCAGCGAATTCGTACCTCAGCGGTGATTCAATCGACACTAGGAGATGCAAAACGGCATGCAGTAAAATCTCGCATTTAACTCGGAGCAAAGAAAAGGTGAACGATGCACATGAGTGTGTGACTACTGATTCGTGATGAACGATGACAAAATTCAGGTTATCCGGAGGCAACGTAGGAGACGTTGATGCTATATGTTAATTCATGAGCACTATAGACAGAGGGAAGGTGAATTTACTGGTTTCCATCATTTTTCGGCGCGACTGCGCGGCGTTGTGTTGATCAGTCTATTCTACCACTACTCTAACGAGGAACTAAGTTACGAAACGAAGGGGAACGTGTTAAATGATTAGTAACGTCGAGAGACGCAGAGAAGGGGTACATAGAGAGGAGTAATAATAAAAATCGTAAATATCTTACAAGTGCGCTTGCAATTTGTTGGGAAGAGCATTCTCTTCCTTTCCACTACCAACCAACCACGCCATGCAGAAGAATGTAGAACAGTGTAGACAGAAGTGGGTAGGAGGTTTAATACAAAAATGAAACAAGACAGCAGTTAGGTGATTGTTCCGGCACCATTAATTAAATAATTTCCTGTCATTGTAACGCTCGATCCGCATTACTGGTGTCTCTGGCCGGTGCGGCGGCCACACGTATCATTTGCAATTTAATCTCATATGGACAAGAAACTGGTTAGATTTCTTAAGGCATCGCCGGCATCGCATCGTTTCTCGAGCTCGGCACGTGACAGGAGGGAATTTCTTTTATTTGATTTATCGACCTTAATATTCGACTTCGCGTGTGGGGCAACTCCAGGCCAACAGTAATTCGCATCGAGATTGCGGTATACTTTCCTACCACCACCAGTATTCTAATATTAATATGCAACGAAATTCAATAGCACGAAACCGATCTGGATTCTGACCGAAACGTCCGACTTCACTCAGAAAGAACATTCGACGGTAAAACATCACCGAGTACTGAGATCACTTTTCCATAAGTCTCGAAAAATATCAGAAATTAATTATCCGGGGGAAAAAAAAACGAAACGGACGACGCTCCTTTACGCAATTGCGCTACTGTAACGAGAGGGATCGTGATTCTTACTTTGAATAAAGATTTGGAAGTTAATGGAAAATATCAATTTACAGCGAATTTGGGGTCACAAGTGCTGCGATTGAATTCGGATATACGTGGTCGTGTATCGTAACGCATGGGACTTGAAAATCATTCCAACAAAGTATGTAAACTGAAAACTACTACGTATGTGATGTATGGGAGACGTAATACTTTTGTGAGGTCATGTAAGCCAGTAAAAGCCGGCGCACGTGAGGCGAAAGCATCAACAAAAGTCTCGAAGCTATCTTAAAGTACGACCGATTCGTTTCACTTGTGCCGATCGGGTCTATCCGAACTTATTACTCTTATTTATAACTTGCACCGTTGCAGGTACATTGACGGAAGAAGAATGGTGATTTACCTTGCACTCGCCAATCGAGAGTGTTCCTTACTCTTCATGGAGACCGTTGTGTTGGCGTGTCGACACATCATGTAGATCGCCATGGACAGGAACACCAAGTTAGCCTGGAAGACGAGGTCGAAGATAAGTTCGGTGGAATTGAAAGGTGAGAAGCCGACTACCAAGAGTGTAATCACTAATTAGAAATTTTTTTTATTGAGGAATTACCAAAATAACGAGTATCACAGGTCCCACGAAGCTGAAGATGAAGTAGTTGTCCGCTCGCAACCAGCAGTACCGATCGGTACCGTAGCTGAGGGGATCGATTACGCAGGAAATGGCGACGACAAGGAGAGGGGCACCATAAGCCACCAAATAGTACCACCGTAGCCTTGACTTTTCCGCTTCGAAGACTTCGATCAGCATGACGTACAACTGGAATCCTAAATAGGAATGGAACCGTCAGAGATAGGTGACTATGAGCGATCCTAGGGACCCAACTAAAAATCCTTTCTCGATAAGTCGACAGACGTTTGGAAGAGACCGTTACCTTCGAGGAACATCCAGGCGAAGGCACAGAGGAAGAAGAAGTGCAGGAGTCCGGCGACAACGCCACATAGTATCCTTTGATTCGTCTGTCCGATGCCACATACGAAGAGGACTTCGGCGATCAGCAGACAGACGCACAGGTTCTTGTGAATCGTCGTTCTGTCGGACTGGAATCGAGAAAGAGACGTTACAAGAGGTGTATCAAACGTTATCCAGGAAACCGTCCTTTCGTGTAACTTCCGCGTCGCCAGCTGATTTCGGCGAAATTGGCTAATTTACTAATACGGAATTGCAGCTACCTTCAATCCTCGGAACAGCTGGAACGTAAGGATGGCAAGAACGAGGCAGACGACCGAGATGATGCATCCCGTGTACGTGATGATTTGGAGAGCGACTTGATGAGCGATGTCCAATTTCACCGCATGAACGTCCATCAGGACCGCAAAGTTCGTAAGGTGATTGCACTGGCACACGGTGTGCGTGGCGTTGGACCTATGTAGGTGACATCCCTCTTCGGACCACGCGCTGTGAATTAAGGACAAGAAGGGAATGAATTACTTCCAAGTATGCATTTTCTCTGGAGCTCGACAAGGTCTAATTATCCCTGAAGTGGTTCACTGAAGAAGCAGTTGCGTGCCCGAGACGTACCTCATGATATAATCCCAGAAGACGCACGTGGGATTACTGACGTTATCAGCGGTCAAGTGCTTGAAGTAAACCCTGACTGGTTCCGTCAACTGGATGTGCCTTCCTCCGCCTAGGGAAGCGGATATCACCTTGCTGTTCAGTATCCTAGTGACGTTACGTTTTGGCCGAAACTCGGGGTCGTCGTTCGTGGAAAACGGCGAGGTCTCCATTTGGGGTTGCAGAATTTCCTCCAGCCTGTCGAACGCCATGAAGACGAGCCTAACGATGCCGCCTTCGCTGTTTTCCAGAAGAGCCGTCGTGGTCAGCTCCACATGGTCGTTCGAGGCCGTCCATTTCTGCTGAGATGCCGTCGAGAAGACCTCCAGGTCATTGTCCAGATTACGCGTATCGAGGACGCGCACCTCCATCACTGGAAAAACAATAGATCACCGTTTAAAAGTCGCCTTGAGCTCGGATGGTACTCCACTCTCCTCCTCCTAGGGAATCTATCTCCGAGCAATGATGATAGAAAATAGGGGGGATTCCGAAATAACTCGGTTATTAAAAGAGAACGAACATTTCCGTGTCAAGAGGTACCTAGGTAAGTGTACACCCTGGATAATCATCCACCTGGTAGGAAAATACTTACGTATATTTTTCCCCGTATGAATGATCTTCCTCGCGTAAGTGAAGGTGTCGGCCAAGAGGAATGCGTTCTCTTCCAAGCCGATCAGCAAGGAAGTGGCAACTCTCATCTGTTCCTGGTGACTCAGATCCTTCCACGAGGCCATTTGCGACTTGTCCAGCAAATTGCTCCCAGTTATCACGACGCCCTCCAGCAACTCCGAGACGCTGACCTCCTTCTGACGGGGATCTTGGTAAGTTTTGATAGACTCGGCCATTTTCTCAGCCATGTTCTTAATGATCGTCGTGGTGGTCATCATGTCGCCCCCGTAGAGCATCTGGCTGTTGTTGGTGACTTGGGACAACTCGCTGCTAACGCTGAGTATAGTGTCGCCGTTGTTCACGCGTTTCTCCAAAGAAGTCAACCAGGCGGACCTGCACTCGCTGAGGTCAGGGGTCTCCAGATACCAGGTGGCCATATCTCCCCGTAGGACGCACCTCCACCTAGCCAAGCCATTGCCCCCATCGGGACAGCTTTGGACAGCGACCTCGCCAGCGCGTGTCACGTTCCAGAAGAGGTTCCTGGCCCTCGTGGGAGGACAGACCTGCCTGCCATAGTCGAACCTCTGTCCGATGGAGCTGGACTCCGGATATTGGGTGCTGGGCACTGAAACGATCACCATTGCTCCCGTCAACATCGTCCCCGAGGTATCAGAAATTCTGGCCGTGCGTAACGACCTAGCCACGGTCCCGTTAGGATGCAAACTTAAGTCCATCAAAAAAAGCAAGACAAAGTCCCATGGCATACCGATGGTCTTCCTCGTGGTTTTCCACGGTGGGACGGTGGACGTGGTGGTGGACTGCGTGGTGTCGGGCATAACGGGCGGCACTGGCGGACCGTGTCGGTTCCCTGAAGAGGCGTCATCTCCGTCACCGCCTTCGGGCTCGACGGCGACCTTAGTGGACGTCACGCTGCAAGAGATCAAGTTAGGTCAACCCTCGGAGGCGCTACTGTCGCCATACTCGGACCGAGAGGAGAATGGACCGAAAACTGACCTTGGCAAGGTGGTCGCAGGTTGTGCCAGGGTGGACGTGGGGGGTGGTGGTGGAGGCTGGGCCGGTGGCGTGGTAATCCTCGAGGGAGGCCTGACGGTCGGCTTAGCCGTGCTCCAAACACTGGGCTGGGACGTTATCAGCCATGGCGGACTGGGGCGCGACGTCGTCGTCGTGGCGGCTGTAAATATTTAACGAAATCAAAAGTGGAGGCGGAAGGGAAGCCCTGCCCCCGCGGGAGCTTTCCGGGGACGGCGAGCCCGGTTCCACCGGCGGGGCAAAGCTGATGAGTAACGATCGGCCGAGGATGCGTCGGAGGGGGTGGAGAATCTTCCTCGAAGATCGTACAATAGATCTGTAAGACCAGGACTCGGGCCCGTCCCGCGCGCCCTCTCCTCCGCCTCTCGCCCCTCCCCGCCCCCCGGCTCCTCGCGAAACCTTTCAGCTTTGCATTATTCAGCTTTGCAAATCCCCCATTCTTTTCCGGGCATATTCTTCCCCGGCTAGGAGAGGGGAAGGCTATGATGATTCCCCGGGGATCCTCCGTGCCGAACGCAGATTGGCTTCGCGACCGGTATATCGTGACCGCGCAACTCCCAGGCACGCCGATCTTTAACCTCGAGATGGCGGCGCCAGTTAATCCGGGAATGGGATTGTCCGCGTATTTCGCCAGGCTATCTCTATAGGGGTCATCTTTATTGGTCGAAGAGGGCCGCGATAAGGTGAAATACAGGACCGTCGATGCGCGCCCAGATAGTCCCGGCTAAGGCTCGAGGTTCACCCTCTCCGCACCCTATTAGGATGCTGGAAAGGGCCCTCTTCTTTCGCCGGGAATCGACGACTTCATTTCAGAGGCTACTTCCCTGGAATAGCTAATCGGCGCGGAAGACGCTGGACCACTCGGGTCCAGCGACGGACTCCAAGTCCGAAGATTCGACCGTCAACGGGACGTTGAACGTTACTCGGGTATGATTTCTCGGACTCCTCGTTTGGGAGCGACGAAGAAACGGGACTCATGATTCCCGATAAGCGCGACCATCACTTCCCGAATGGGTGATCCTTGGGAGCATCTCGTTGCCGCAAAGTTCCGAAGTCGCGGTGCTTTGGCGAGGCTCTTTGCCGTCACTGGCATGATAAAAGTTTGCCTGGAAATCCGGGGAGACGCGGGGAGCGCGTCTTCGCGTCAGATCCAGCTTTGATCTCGGAGGCTTCATCGAAACGGCGATCTTTATTGGCTCCGTTACCGGTCTCGTACGCAGTGGAAACGTTGCCGGTGCTCTGGGCGTCGGCAAATACGCGTTTGCAATGGAACGGAGACGAAATAGAATGCTTGTACTTACCGGATCCACAAATGTAATGCGCCTCGAGGTACTTCACCGTGTTTGGACACGGGTCGCCAAATTGTACGGTCGATGCAACGATGCTGCAGTTCTGTTGGTGATCGCACCTGGACGGAATCAGTGCCGGAACGGCAAGGTTTTACCAATCGATTGCGCTAAGTGGACCGTGTGTACTGCCATGGATCGTTATCCAAAAGGTCTTTTGGATGGATTTGAACCCCTCGGTGGTCGTCCCTCCGTTCATCGGCACCTCCGGTGACGTCCACTGACCATCGCGTGACGGTCGCTCATGGTTGGGGGGGCCCTGACTCGACTACATATACCCTACCTAACCGATTTTCTCTTTTTGCACCTCTCCTATACCCGATATGCCCTCTTCCAGTGCATTCGGAATTTCCAGCGCGATTTTCGCGACTGGCGGATCGACGGTTTCGGCGCTGGTCATAAGGCTAAATGAAAAAAATGAAAACCAACCAACCTAGGCAATAATACTGCGCTTCGACGTACTTTCTCGTTCCGGGACAGGGGTCCTCCTCGAAAATCCCGCTGTGCACATCCACCGAGCAAGAACGACGTTCGTTGCACCTGCAATCGTCACGTGTAAGAGGGAGACGCCTCGGGGACCTTCGAATTATGCTAATCGTACGTGGGGGCGCGATTTGCCGAGGAAAGGCGTCGGAGTGGAGGGATCACGGCCTCTTTGTCTTGGGTCTCTTCGCGATGTGGACATTTTGAGGTGGCTGCTACCGATGCACCTCCACGGCCGAGCTACCGAATTCCCCCACGGTGGAATTACACGGACGGGCAGCTTTCCAAGTGACGATTTGCGAAAATTCTCTACATAGACCGTCGGGGTATCTCGAAGCTACTTTACCGCCCCTAGTTGCGTGATCATGGACCGAGTACTTCTGAATTTTCCTGAGAATATCGGGCTCAAGGTGGAGGACTGAAATCCAGGTCGCATGTTTGGGCCCTTCGAGATCCGCTCCAGGATGATCATTGTCGTTTGCAGGGTAACTGGAGGTACGGTCACGGTAGTTTGATTTTGATGCATCCTCTGGAGCAAATCTCGAATTGCCCGTGACTCATGCTACCGAGTACCCTCCCTCTGTACTCCATTACACGAGGATCATCCGTGCGTATTAGGTACCTTACGCGCTGCCTATCGCGCCCACTTAGCGTTCCATAATACTGCGCCCATAGCTGGCAGTCTTTACAGGACCATCGGCGATGGCGATTCCGTGTACATGCCCACAGGCAGACCACTTACACGGCAGTGGGTACATTCTCGGACACGGTTTGCCTCGGCCGCACAATGCGCGCACCTACGCCCAAGCCGGTGCACCAACCACCATCCGAGGTGACCCCGGAGTCGAAGGAAGCCCCCTTGCGATTGTAGAAGAAATCTGCCCTTTACCGACACCTTAAGACCAGGAAGGACTCGAAACAGAGGTCGCACCCGAAGAGGATGACGAAAATTCGACGCGGAGCCGCACCGGTTAGGGATGCTGGGTTAATGAGAGAGAATTTCCGCCCGGACGGACCGAAGCGCAGAGGGTTTAGTATACGCGATGGAGCACACCGAGCCAGTTTGTTAATGATAAAAAGGGAGGTTCGGGGAGGCTCGGCCAACGGATTCACACGTCAACCCCAGAAAGTCATGCAGAGGTATCTCATCGTTCTCGGACTCTCTCTCGTTCGAGGGGCCGATTCGCCTGGATTATGCAAAACGCGTGCATCGCGGAGGAGGGCGCGTTCCGAGGGGGTGCCGAATGAATTTCGGAGCGCAGCCGCGACGCATAATTCCTGCTCCGTAAATATTTAACGAACGGCTGCAGTTGGACCGCGCTGGCAAACAATTCGGCCGCGCTTTTCGGCCCGATTTTTATTTGCCGATCGGCCAGCTGGTCGCTGCGGCCCCCCGCGAAGCCGGACCGATGCGCGGTGTTATCGGAGCATTATCAAATATTGTAGCCTGTTTGCGCCCGCCAAATTGCACTTTCGTCGCGAGACGTCGAGTATTCATGGATTGCTGTCTATTTAAATTGGCCGGCGCGTACACGCGCGTGCGGGGGACCCGCCGCGGGGTGTCCGCGCGGAAAACACGCACCCAAGGCCAGGCCGTGCATTTTTCACGGGGAACGTTTGCGCTTGTCATCGGGGATTTTCGAGAGCTCTTCTGCATCCTATCGAGTCGGCCTGAAGGGCGAAGGGGTTTTAATTATTTTTATTCCGCCACTCGATTTTTCACCGGCTATATGGAAACTTCCAGCTTTTCCGCTGTTTTTAACCCGGGAGGGAAATCTCCGCGGGTTTTCAGTTTTGGTATTAAGTTCGCCGAAAATTCCGAGTACTCGTTAGCGAAATTCGTTATCACCGACCCGTCGAATACTGTCTCATGTTTCGGAGCGGGAAATTCTATTTTTATCTTTTTTCTTTTTTTCCGTCGACATGAGTATTCCAGGTATTCATGCATTGCCGGTACCGACTACTAATCGAACGCGACTAATTGCGTTCCATAGAAACAGCGGGAATTATCCCCCTCATTACGTTGAAATGTTATGTCGAAAAAATGAAATATTTCGTTTTATCCGCCACCCTGCCGCTTTCGAATCGCTTCGCCCACGTATCCTGGATTTTGCGCATTCTTCCAAAGGGGTCTCGAATTACAAGCTTTCGAGTTGAAATTATTTTCATTTCGTCATTCCAATTTTAATCGATGAATCGCCCGGGAATTCCCTCGTTCGTGAAAAAACCAAAACGATACGCGAGTGCAGTTTGAAACGTTCCATGGGCCAAATTTGCCCTTTTCTTTCGCCTTTTCCGTCCAAATCGGCTCGGATAACATTATAAAATATCGATTTGCTATCCCACCCTGCATGGAGTGGTTAATACCCACTGGCACAAAAGCGACATATTTACCATCCGCGCCGAATATTCATTAATAATTTATTCCAGTCGTCACGAAATTGATGGCGATTCGTTTTAGCTCGTCGCGACACCGGGGGCCATTATCCAGATTTCTAAAATCGGAGGGCTCGAAATTTCGTTTCTAGAAGATCTGGCCCGTTAAAAATTCCCACCGGGCATTCGCGTTTTCCAGGGAAAATGTTTACCCGCAAATGCACGGGCGAAGAGTGAAAAATGCACGGCGTTCCTCGGCGCACCGCGTAATAAATACTTGAATGCGCCGGCGCATTATCGCGGATTTGTCTCGTTTTCTAAAAGGGCATTCGGCTCGAAATAAAAGGCCCCGTCGGGAGGAAGACCAATTAAAAATTATTTCAGTTTCGCCAGGATCTACGGATTCATACGGCGCGGCAGGAAACTGGAACCATCTCTCTCGCTCTTTCTCCGGCCACGTTGATATATAAAAACCGAGCATTCGGAGCGAAAACGACCACTCGGTTCGTCCGGAGTGAACATTTTTATTGTATTTTTGGAAAAATCCCGCGCGGCAGGGAAACACGGAAGAGAGAAAACGAGAAAGAAAGGAAGCAGAACGGGAACAACGGCACGAGAAGCACATTTTCACTAATAAACCAGGGCACCGTCGTTAGCAAGGGAGGGATTGTATAGAGGATTCCCAATTCGAAGTATCCGAATATCCCAAAAATCCAGATATAACGATAAAAATTCGAAAACTAGAGGCCTTTAATTTCCAAATAAACTCCCAGTTCCCTCGTTCGCTTTTTGGTAGGCAAAAAATCATCCGAATTTCCTCCGGGGTTCCGGACAATCGCTCCCCCCAGTTCTTGGCTTCGATTTGATTTCACGGACCGATAATCCCTGGAACGGAGTTTCCTAGGTGGCCCAAATCGGGATTTTCCAAGAGCTACGTTTTTTTAAGAGATATACTCGTCTCGCGTCCCAATGGCGTCCACGTACGCGCAAAGTAGACCCCCGGATCGGGAAAACTCGCAATAACGTACAGGCGATATCGTTACAAAGGGGGAGCCTAGCGATCCGCAAATCGGTATCGAATCTTCGGCTCAGCCGGGCCGGCTCGATAATCGATAGTTAATGGGCCGAGGGGTGGCGGCCGCCTCGTCACGTTCGGTAAAACGAATCGAATTCGCGGCGCGGGGCGATAAATATGCGACGACGCTAGCCCCGCCCGCTGAAACGTGTCACAATTTCGCGTTTAATTGCGCGAACGTCATTATGCGCGCTTATTAAGCATCGCGAAATAACGCCCGGTATTATAATTGACGGGCTGGGGGACTCGGGGAGGAAACGCAATATCGCCCTTTCGGGGTGGAAAAGCCGGGGAAATCCGCGCGGCATTTTTGCGCGCCTCGGAGAAAATCGGAAGGTTCGGTTCGTCAAGATAGGGTTCCAGGGAGGAATTATTGTTAAATAAAAAAAAAAAAGGAAAATTTCACGAACCCCGCGTTCCACAGGGGGAACCGTCGTTTACCGGGTGACGACCTCCAGAAGAGAAATAAAGGGATAACAAATTTTAAATGGTTCCATGAACGATTCTCCCAGTACCGCTCTTACGCCACCGTCCACCATGACTCGGTCCCAGAGAAACGTGAATAATCGCCGGCTCGAGCCGCGACGTTTCCGTGACGATTGAGTGATAAGCCTCTCCAGAGCGAGCGAAATCACGTGAGTTTGCAGGGTGACTTTTACTTTTTATCTCGCGCCGCTTTCCCTTTTGGCCGGGTGTCCCCGTGTCGGACTTAATCGTGGGTCAGGGAATCGCGATTCTTAAACCGGGAGCTTTTCGGAGTACCGGAGGACGGTCCCAGGGCGGGATGTACGCCGTCTCCCTATCTTGATGAGAAAGGCCATTAACGCAAATACAAGTATACGGGCCGCCGCTTCATGTCGCACTGTCACGTGCGTTAACCGTGTATCTTCGTGTATACACGGGCGTCCCGTCTAACTACCGAAGCATGTACACATGTATACGTCCGCGGCGTTATCGTTCACGAGCAAGGTAGGTACGAGGTGCCGCGGGGATTAAGCGAGTCCTAAAACGCGTTTGCGCGAGAAACGCGTGTTTCATGGCCGCGATATACGCGGGAGGGCCCTTTCCTTATTCCGTTACCGCGGTACAAGGGACTAACCGAAGATCCCGTGACGCGATTTTGATGCTTAATCCTGCGTCGCGAGGATCACGGGAACAGAAAATCCGATCCGTGGGAATTTGGATCACTCAAAAATCACGTCCAAGTGTCCATTACGCGGCCATGAAGAGGCGTCAAGCTCGTTCCGGTGAGAAACGGTTGTACGCTTTTCTCGACCCGATGTCGCCGTAAAAATGGCCCCTCTCATGAGGCGGCAATTCCCAGGACAGTCCTGAAGGGACCATTCCTTCGCGTCCACGTGGGGGTAATTCGCACGTGCGACTGCGTTGCATACGTGGGGCAGGGCAGGGAAGCACCGAAAGCTCGAGCAGGGTAATGGTACTGGGTGCCATAATTGCGCACCGGTTACCCCAGCCACGGTTCGGTGCACGTTACAACGTCGTAAGATCGGTCGTACCCGGAGCAATGAGAGATTCCTTAGGGGAGAGACATCTGCGGGGTGCAGTAAGCGCGTCGTTCCGGATTTCGCGAATCCTCGGCGAGCAA